AATCTGGGTTGTACTATATCCATTTTTATAAATGATGAGATGCTCATTCTTTTTCTTAAATAAGGTATTAGCAATTGAAAAATCATAAGCTAAACAAAAATCTAAAATGGTCTTGCCACCTTCATTTGTTGTTTCAAAACCATAGCCACCATGAATGCTTTTAAAATCATCTACCTCTCTACCAATATGTCCATTTAAATCTCCTTCAATAAAAACTCTTTCTTCTAGAGGTATCTTTTGTAATAATTCTTCTAAGTCATTCCAAAAATTTAATTTAAAACTCATATTCAAACCTACTTGAGGAGCAGAAGCACTTATAATATTAACAATCTTATCATCAACAATCTTTAAAGTTGTAATTTTATCTTCAATCCTATTAATTTTTATAATATTATCATTCAAACTCTTATCTATAGTAACACCTACACCATTTCTAGTACGACTCCTACCCGAATACCAAAGTTTAAATTTTAAACTATCAATTTCCTTAGCCTTCTCTCCAACCCATTTAATTTCTTGAATGCACAAAATATTTATCTTCCTATGAATCATAATATCTAATAATTACATTAATTTTCCAGTAAGAGAACCTATATTCCAAGTTCATATCCTAATTTTAGTTCATGGACTAGCTTCTTTGCCCACATCCGTCCTTGATGTGGGAACCTTTGCCTATTTAACACTGCACCCGGGCACTGGTGCAGCGGCCCTTGCACACTTGTCATTGTATTCAGGCCATATAGTGCGTCGCTTCCAAGGGATGCCCTAACATTAACATAATTTCTTAAAAGATTCATGTCATTATTATTCGACAAGTTTTACACTAACTGTCGACTACTTAACGCAACCCTCCACTTTTCTCATCCAAGACTTGGGACCTGACAACGATAGTGTTTCACTCCAAAATGCAATGAAACTAAAAAATGTCGTGATTCATCTCCAATCGAACTCCATTTTACGCGCTTCTGCGAAGGTAATCATATTTCTCCTCTTTCGCGCGCTTCTTCGACAAATCCGGTTGAGACAGAAAAATTGCGTAGGTGAATAGTGCAACGCCAATATTGCTGTCGTACTGCTCACCTGCAAGCAAATAGCGGAAGATTTGTGTTCGGCTGGAGCGACCGAACGATGTCATATGCATGTTTGGCGTTCGGTTGGAGATGCTCTAAGAGGAACACACATGCTATCCCCTATGATGCCTATCTCCTTCTCATGCTATTAAATACTGTCGATGCCCCTTTAACAAGCTCAAAATCTCGTTGATAACATTCTCCTTCACATGTCGTTCGCGTTCTGTGTAAAGGTTTGAAGTTGCATAGAAACCAAGTCAGAACCAGTTTTATTTTGAGCAGGCTTTAGTAAGCAATTCTTGATAAAAAAAAATAAAAAGTGGGGATATTTTGATGCAACCCGAACTTCGGAGCATATTTCTCTAAGAAAATAAAAAATCAGTATATTTGGCTAATTTCTTAAGTAAATAAACTCAAATTTCTCTTCACATACGACTTAATTCTTAGGCATTTATAAATTCAATACATAAATCTTTATATTTTGTTACCATTCCATCTTTTTCTTCAAAACATATAAAAAATACTTCTCGTATCCATATATATTTAGGATTTAGATATAAAGATACAGAAATCTTTACATTTTGTGCAAACTGATCTCTTGGTTGATCATTCTTCCATCAGGAACTTGCGAATGAGAGATTGGCACTGGAGCTGGCGAGGGAAACAAAGATCGCCGTGGAAGCAACGGCAGTTTCTCAGGAAAAGGGGAGCTCGATCACAGCGGCGGCGGTCGGGGCGTCTCTAGGTGCCGGCCTTGGCCTCATAATGGCTGTGGTGATGGGAGCAGCCTCCGCCTTGAGGAAACCCTAACATCTTTCACCTTCTGGACATGATGAAAATGGTATTTTTTTTGTTACTGGATTAGATTAGATTCACCAAGTATATTTTCATTTTTTTTTGTTTATAACTCTGCACATTCTTGTACAGGCAAGATGCTTACATTCTATGAGCATGCTGCCTTGTTTTTTTTTTATTAAAATGTTCTTCAACTCATTGAATAGATACTGTAAAATGAGACATTTTTAAAGTTATTTTTATATAAATTATAGTATGATTTGAGAAGTTTAGCAAAAGATAACTTTGTGTCATCTGTCAAATGAAGCATAAAAAACTATGAAGCTTATTATTACGATAGTTAATCATATTCAAGATTAGGTATATCAATGAACTTATGATACTATTTATTTGAAATAGTCTTACTCAATCATATACAAAAGTATGATAAAATGGTCCATTGATTTTTTATGAACGATCAATAAATGATCATTAGAAATTAAAATAGTTGCATTATAGGGTTATTCTGATTTTTTTTTAAAGATTTGTAGGATCAAAATAATTTTGTAATATAGTTTAAGAATTTTTTATCCTTTGTAAAAAAAAATCAAGAGATTAATTTTGATATTTTTATAGCAAAAATATTCTTAATATTTTGCTAATTCAAACTATCATAAAGAGATTATTTTGTGCGGAGATCGGGCGTGGAATGTTGTTTGGAGATCAATCAGAATGTCTCATGTCAATAGTGTCGATTGGTACAGAACAGTATTGAGCTGTAGTATCAAATAAACAGTAGATGTGATGTATTATGATTGGTCTCGAGCATAATAATTAATCCTATCCTAAGAGTCCAGTAAAAAATCAAAATAACTAGTTAGAATTCTATACCTTCTAGAAAGTCTAATGGCCGGACGGTAATCTTGTACAGCCTTTGACTTTCAAACATTCAAACAAAAACGCCAAAGCAAGACCAGTGATCTAATATCTTAATAATTATATTCACCATCTCAACAAATTTATGGATATCAAAAGCGTCAACCGAGCACAAGATGGCATAACGGATGTAGATAGATTGAAGCTTGGCTCGATTTTTTTGGTTAATTTGATAATTTATTTCTTTGACTGTTGCTATAATTTGAGAAATTATTCCGTGTAGAATTGGACGTAAAGTTACATCACAATTCAGATATAATTCTACGTCTAGACTCTGCACAGAATAATTAATTCTTTCCTGAACGTTGAATCTCATGGTGCAGTTCTATTTGTGACTCAAATAAAAAAATTAACATATTTATCCCAAGAAATTAAAAGAGATAAAAAAAATAAATGGAATTAATATATGTCATCATATTTTTCTTTATTTTCTGGCTTTACATATAATAAAAACAATTAATTTTGTATAAACCTTATCCAATATTAATATTAACGTGTAATAAAAAAGACTTAAAACGAAGAACTCTTTGATCAAAGGAATGGTTAATATAAAGGAAGAATGAGAACATTTAGTTCAACTTCACATGATATGATTTTATTTAAAAATATATTAAAGTTGAAATACTATCATTAATAGCTCATTTCATTTTATCGTTCATAACAATATTATCTCATTAATTTTCAGATCTTACTAAATATATGATTTTGCAAACAAGTTTGCTAAGAATTTGCTGACTTTTCAATGCTGCCTAAAAATTCTGATGGATAAAGTAATCCAAGATCTGATTTGAATGCAGAAAATGAGGAGAACATGAAGGTTTCATTTGGAGAGAAATTATTATGTGCGGTCATCGAACAATTCAGAGACGAATCAGAGCACGACATGTCACTCAGTATCGAGCAGTACATAATAGGGGTGATGATAAGCGAGCGGTACATAACAGGGGTACAAAACAAAACAAAAAATGAGGTGGCACATTCTGATTCGCCTTTAGACACCGCTCGAATGATAGCACAGAATAATCCCTCTCATTTGGGACAATTTTTTTACTGCTTCTTAAATCAAAATTTTAATATAATAATTTTAATTTTTTATTAAATTTTTATTTTAAGAATGCATTAAAGAAGTTGTCCCAAGAAGTCTAAGGTTTTATTGGGACGCATTTTTAATGATTATTAAAACAGGTTTATAATATGAAAGTTTTAATTTTTATATTAAAAAAATCACTTTAAAAACAAATAAAAAAACCGTGTCAAATGAAGCACAAGTCTCAGCTCAAGATGCTTGGTATTATAAGGAAGAGTTTCGCCATCTCCATAAATCCCCACCGCGCCTTAGCCCTCAACGAATCCCAGAAAGCTTCCTTCTGCAATCTCGACCTTCTCGATTTCCCTGTTCTTCATCCATCTGTTCTTCCACGACGCAAAACCCGCTCTTTTCTCACAAAACAGAGCAAGAAAAGCTTATCAACGATCATGTCGAGAATTTCAGGCAATCACACGGCCGATCAGTATGAAATCCCGCAGATTCTGAAGCCAAGAACCGTGGTTAAGAAGGTTGTGGCGAAAGAGCAGGGGGAGGGAGAGGGAGCTACAGTAAGGAGAAGTATTGGAAGGTGATTTCTTTCTTTTTCAGTTTCATTGGAGTTTGGAGTTTATCTGACATTGTGTTTTAATGGCGTTTCTCTTCTCAGGCCGGAGCATAAAAGTCTGGATCCTTTTCTAATGCTGGATTATGCAACTGGTTTGTTTCTGCTCTTTCTCCTACACTTTTTTATCTGTTTCTTTTGTTTTCTAATATGATTTCTCTCTGAAATTGTTCACAGTTGCTCCTCCTGCTCGTTTTCCTTTTCACCCTCATAGAGGTGAGCAAATGGTCAAGATTTCAATAAAAACTAATTCATTTCTTCTGCTACTGATCTCATCTAACTAAAAAAAGTGTATTTTTATATGTTTTTTATCTTCATACAGGAATTGAGACTGTGACTTATGGGTTAGAGGTAATGTACATTTTGTTTTGAATAACTTTTTGTGGTTATTTTTTCACTATTTTTAAAAATTCTTATACTAAAAACTGCAGTAAAAATCAGTAAAAAAATTGGAGCCTCAGAAGACTGAAAAAATGCTAATTTTTGTTTAATTGGTGTTTCCTATTTTTTTAAAGGACGCTATTGTTCTTCTTCTAACTTCTACTTAAATTCAGGGAGACATCACCCATGAAGATTTTGATGGCCGCAAGGGCATAATAAGGCCTGGAGATGTTCAGGTCTGTTCTATAACCATTAGAAAATATAAAATAAATCTCTGAATTTAAACTCCCAATCCTATGTGAGATTAATGATATATTCTTTCCTATTTCTTCAATATTTTCTCTGCAGTGGATGACCGCAGGAAGAGGAATAGTTCATGCCGGAAAGCCGATCGGCGACAGCGCCAACAAGAATTTCCAGCTGTGGATCAATCTCTCCTCCAAAGACAAAATGTGAGAAAAATATTTTCAGATTCTTCACAGGGTGGATCAACCTCTCCTCAAAGAAGATAGAATTTAGTAATGATAAAATGCCCAAAAACCAAAAAAATTTAATTTTTGTTTGTTCGCAGGATTGATCCGAGCTACCAAGAAATTCAAAGCGAGGACATAAAAAGAGTTCAAATTAACGGCATCGAAGTCCGCATAATAGCAGGGGAAGCATTCGGCGTCCGCTCTCCTATCGACACCCGAACTCCGACCATGTATCTAGACTTCACCATGAATCCCGGAGCTCAGCTTCATCAACCCATCCCTGAAGACTGGAACGCCTTCTTCTACGTAATCGAAGGCGAGGGGGTCTTCGGCGACGAAGGCTCCGTCCCTTTCTCGAGCCACCATAATCTGGTTTTGAGCAAAGGAGATGGAGTGAGCGTGTGGAACAAATCAGGGAAGTTGCTGAGGTTTCTGCTCATTGCAGGGCGGCCATTGAATGAGCCGGTGGTTCAGTATGGGCCATTTGTCATGAATACGAGGGAAGAGATAAGGCAAGCTTTTGAGGATTATCAGCTCTGTAAGAACGGATTTGAGAAGGCGAAGGAGTTGAAGCTTCAGGAGTAGGAGGAGATGATGGAAGACATGCGAGTAGAATAAGAGCCGTTGCATTTCTATAGTAGAATAAATTATATGCATTTATAAAAATTTATGAATTTGTTGTATGTGTTTTGTATTTTGCTCCTATAGAAAGGGAATGGGTCTCAAAAAGAGTAATTATTCTGTGCGGACGTCGAACTGCATCATTCGGAGACCAATCAAAATGCACTATGTCAGTAGTAATGGTGTGACATGACACATTCTGATTGGTTTCTGGACGACGTTCGACGTACGCACAGAATTATTTCTCCTCTTTTGAATTAAACTGTTTAGTATCCTATTGGAAAAACAATGCACTTTTAATTTTCTTGCACTATGTGATACCCTCATTAAAAATGAACTATAATGTCACTAAGCTTCATGATGGACAATCCATTGAAAATATTGATAGTTCTATTGATGTTGCGCTACTTCTCGAGAATGATAGCAAGCACACAACATTGATCTTTTTATCAATTTTAATGATCATAGAGCTCAATTACCACATAATTGAGCTGAACTCATTGATGTGATTGATAATCAAGGCTTCTTTTGCGATCTTGAAACTAAAAAATAAGTGAGCAATGTGTATTATTTTCCAAGAACAAATTTTTTATATAATGGAGGATGTCTTCATTATGCCTATTATAATGGTCTTGTGGAAGATGTTCAAGATGTCATTCATGATAAGAAAAAAGAGAATTAGCGCAAAGATTCATTATCCATTAAGCTGCTCTTCCATATCAATTAATTATTTCTTTTAATGATTGATGGAGCCATTGGCAGAGCAAGAAAATTTATTCTGGGAGGGGCTTAAATTAAAATAATTTTGTTTTCCATCTAGTATAGAATGTTAGAATACATTAAAATAGTTCTACTTTTCGTCTCACTAATGGAGCTAAGAGGAGCTATAAGATCAAAATAAAAAATGCAGATAACATAACCCTTAGAGCTTATAAGACATAAATATCTTCCCACGGACGATCTCCATTTGGGGGTGAGAGAGGAGCGAAAGGGAAAATGAAAGTCGTGCTGAAGGTCGTGAATCGAGAGTTGCGAGAGACGAGCAAAAGAGAAAATGAAACAGGCCGATTAATGCTAATGAGCTGCGTTATTATAGACTTCCCAATGACTCTTTTTGAAAGAACGGGAATAAAAAAACTGAAAATAATCAAAAGGCTCCACCGATTAATGCTAATAATATGTTTTAGGCAAAAAAAAATAGATAAACTTTGATCAAAAGTAGATCTAAAAGCTTTTAACAGCTGATTAGAAAAAATATTGATAAGTGAAACACAAAAAAAATAATGACCATCGGGCTCCTCTTCTATTCTAATTGATGGTAACTTCTTCGTGAAGGCATATGACCATCTTCTTATTATAAGGGCCTTCCAACCTCATATCGAGTGGTACCGAGCACGATACAGAGCCGCAGTATAAAGTGGGGGCAACGTTGAGCATTCTGATTGGTCTCTGGACGACGTTTAGCGTCCGCACATAATTATTTCTCTAGTATCCTATTGGAAAAATAATGCACTTTTAATTTTCTTGCACTATGTGATAGCCTCATTAAAAATGAACAATAATATCACTAAGCTTCATGATGGACAATCCATTGAAAATATTGATAGTTCTATTGATGTTGCGCTACTTCTCGAGAATGATAGCAAGCACACAACATTGATCTTTTTATCAATTTTAATGATTATAGAGCTCAATTACCACATAATTGAGCTGAACTCATTGATGTGATTGATAATCAAGGCTTCTTTTGCGATCTTGAAACTAAAAAATAAGTGAGCAATGTGTATTATTTTCCAAGAACAAATTTTTTATATAATGGAGGATGTCTTCATTATGCCTATTATAATGGTCTTGTGGAAGATGTTCAAGATGTCATTCATGATAAGAAAAAAAGACAATTAGCGCAAAGATTCATTATCCATTAGGCTGCGCTTCCATATCAATTAATTATTTCTTTTAATGATTGGTGGAGCCAGTAGCAGAGCAAGAAAATTTATTCAGGCGGTCTAAATTAAAATAAATTTGTTTTCCATCTAGTATGGAATGTTAGAATACATTAAAATAGTTCTATTTTTCGTCTCACTAATGGAGCTAAGAAGAGCTATAAGATCAAAATTAAAAATGCAGATAACATCCCACGGACGATCTCCATTTGGGGGTGAGAGAGGAGCGAAAGGGAAAATGAAAGTCGTGCTCAAGGTCGTGAATCGAGAGTTGCGAGAGACGAGCAAAGGAGAAAATGAAACAGGCCGATTAATGCTAATGAGCTGCGTTATTATAGACTTCCCAATGACTCTTTTTGAAAGAACGAGAATAAAAAAACTGAAAATAATCAAAGGGCTCCACCGATTAATGCTAATAATATGTTTTACGTAAAAAAATAGATAAACTTTGATCAAAAGTAGATCTAAAAGCTTTTAACAGCTGATTAGAAAAAAATATTGATAAGTGAAACAAAAAAAATAATGACCATCGGGCTCCTCTTCTATTCTAATTGGTGGTAACTTCTTCGTGAAGGCATATGACCATCTTCTTATTATAAGGGCCTTCCAACCTCATATCCTCTCAAGTTTTCTAACACTTAAATATGTTTTCCTCCCCAAACCCACCTTCTTCTCTTGAGCCTAGAAAGTATCATTGCTTGCCTTCTATTTCTCGTGACTCCACGTAAGATCATCTCCATGGTGAGCAATTTTTTGTTATGTGCACCTCTGAAACTCATTATCCACCATACATATTTCACGTACGTAGATCTACATCTGTTGTTTGCACATAATAATTTCTCAATTTTGTAAGAGTCCGACGCAATAACATATTTTCTTACTACTTTTTTCACGATGAATTAGTCATGCATGCATGCAATGGTTCACTCCAAGGATTGGATTTACAAATAATATTTGCAGCACCTACATCTAATATTGCATCCTAGAATATTTGTGGTGGTAGAGAAATATAAAATTTAACGTCTTAGTTCTGTATGAAGATTCAGCACATAATCAGATTAAAAAAATGGTGTAGCAATCATAAGATACAACATAATTTTTTACGTGGAAAACCCCTGAAAAAAGAGAAAACCCATGGGGTCTAGCCCAATTTGAATGAATCTACTAGTGTTTCCAATCAATTACAAATGAGGCCCTTCCTTGGGGGGAAGGCCTTGGGTTGATATATCAAATATACATTATATAAAGTGCATTACATGATCAAAATTGGAAGAATTAATATTGACATGTTCGTTTAGTCGACAGGACCTTAGTCGGCGGACAACGGAGATCGAAAAGATAGTAATCGGGTGACGATGGTCAAAATAATTATAGTCAAAGGGCGACGGAGGTCGAAAGGATCGTTATCTGACGATGAAGGTCAAAAGGACTGTAATCGACAAGAAATGAAGGTCAGAAAGACCATAGTCTGACGATAGAGGTCAGAAGGACCATTATCTTGTAATGGAGATCGAAAGGACCATAGTCGACGAGCGATAGTGGTCAAAAAGACTGTTGTCTGATGAAGAAGGTAGGAAGGACCGTAATCTAGCAATGGAGGTCGAAATTAAGTATCATAGTCGACGGGTGATAGTGGTCAGAAAGATCATTGTATGGTGGCAGAGGTTGGAAGGATTGTATTCCGTCCAACCATCGTCGTAGTCTGCGGGCGATAGTGGTTAGATCGAAAGACCGTAGTCGGCAGGTAGCTGATGTCAAAAAACTGTAGTTTGGCGACATAGGTAAAAAACATCGTTGTCTTGTGACGGATGTCAGAAGGACAGTATTCGGCGAGAGGTTGTGGTCAAAAAGACTGTTGTTAGGTGGAAGTCCAGCAATAATTGGAAACCACGTGGAAGTTCAGCGTCACTCTGTGGTGGGGTAGAAATTCGATGACAGTCGGTGGCCGAGGAGAAGTCTGACGTCAGTCAGTGATATGGCGGAAGTCCGACGACAGTTGTTGGCCAGGCCGAAGTCTGGCGATAGTTGGTGGCCGGGTGAAAGTCTGACGGTGGTCAAGAAAGAGTTTGGTGGCAAGAGAATTCTAATTTCTCTTCTTCCTTCTCTTCCTAGCTTGGGTCCCCTTCCTTTCGTCAGAAATGAGGGGTTTATTTATAGTTTGGTAAGACTGGCATGATCAGTAAACAGGAGGCAGATCAAGGTAAGTGGGGTGTTGTTTGAATGGACATCTGATGTTGATTTTCTTTATCGTGGACCATTTATTGAACATTTGAATGCTTTAGTGGTGTCAGAATTTGACCGTCTTGGGCTCTTTGGATTCTTTTCATTGAGCCGCTCGATTCAACTATAAGCATGTCATGCTTGAAAACTGTTTGGTCATCCAAGTATAGTTTGAACCTTCGAAATGTACTTTGGAGCTTCGATTTGGTCTCATTTGAAATCAGATTAAGTTGAATTTGGTGTCGTTGAGTTAATCTTTTCGAGACGTTCAGTTCGACTGTAAGTTTGTAAAAATCAAAGTTTAAATGATCCTATATTTTAATTTTAGAAGTTTCCAACTTGATTTTGCCTCGAGATTCATGCCCGATCAAGATAATTTTTTGATGATATATCAATACCGAATATTATTTTGAAGTATTTTATACTTATATTTCTCTAAAAAATAACAAAGAAAATAAGAATTCACTCAATTATTTGTAAATAACAAATATATTTTTAGTGATTTCACTTTCTCTCACTTTTAATATGAAAATAAGCTCATTATTCTTCAAACAGTTTTGAAAAAAAAAACTATGAAGTTCAAAATTAATGCTTATATCTAATTGAATTAAGAAGTTTTATTATTTTTTAAATCCAAGCAATCAAAATAGCCCTAATTTCATCTACAAGCTCAGAAATATTCTATACTAACCAACATGAATTAAATTAGATATCAATAAGTAGTAGGTGGCGCATGTGCTAAGGCTCCTACCTTCCAAATAGAGAAGAATAGAAATTTTCAAATAGATTCATATGAGGCTGTATCATCACATGCATCAGCTTTTTGTCACACAATTTAAATAATTGACCATATAAATTTTATTTCCCATTGCATTGCTTATGACTTTGACTCATTCATCCAAAATTAAATTGTGACAAAGGCCAATTGACTAGGGTTGTAAGTGAATCTCACTGACTTTCAAGATGGTTCGGATTAGGCTCGATAAATGGCTCATGAGCCGATCTCGATGAGCTAATGAGTCAAGTTTCAGCCAGTCCCAACTTGACTTATTAGCTTCCGAGCCGACTAGCTTAAAAAAATATTTGTAATTATATTTAAGTCATGTTATCTTTCCTTTTTTTATCATTTTATTATAATAAATGTCTGGGTCATACTTATTTTCTCTTTTTTATAACAAATGAGCTAGCCGGTGGGTCGATTCGATCTCATAAAATTAAGCTCGGGCTTGAGCTCAATTTCAATTAATTAATCAAATTTAAGCTCAACTCAATAGTAGTTCGAGCTCCATTGATAACAACTCATTTGATAATTATTTATTAAAATTATTTGATTGAGGCTTCGTTTGGGACGGCTTTCTTACTGCTTCTTAAAGTAACTTTTTAGTTAAAATTTTTTAATTTTTATACTTAAAAGCTGCTTTAAAAGCAATAAAAAAAATCACTCAAAACGAAGCCTGAGTGTGATGACCGATAGGTTTGTTTTAGTTAGAAGTAATTTATGACTTAATTATGAATAATCACATCGATTAGTTAGAGAAAGTCGATCTCTCATTTAATTTAAGTCAAATTTTCGGCATTCAAATGGAGCTTTAATTTTCTAAGATGAATGGAGTAATTAATTAATGGTTGGATAAAATGGAAACCAAAATTATTAATTGTTCAACTGCTTCAATTACATGAGCATTGCGTAAAAAAGCCTAATGTGTTTCAATCACGGCAACAAAACAAAGCGCAAGATGTCGCGTCACCCGCCGTCACACCCATTGGACAGCCTGTTAGCAATGCCACGTGTCACAATTTAAGATCATGCGGTGGATGTGATTGAACGGAACATCACACCAATATTTTCTTAGGACCTATCCATTTTTTGACTTTGCCTTCTCCTTGTTTCTAGATGTTCATATATATATATATATATATATATAAGTTGTATTTGGAAACTATATTATTTTCATTGATTGCTTTTATTAATCCAAAGCAATAAAAAAACTCTCCCATATAAAGTCTAAGATTTTGTTTGGGACAGTTTTCTAAAACAGCTTTTAGTATAAAAATTTTTTACTAAAATTTTTTTTTAATAAAATGAAAGTTATTCTAAACAAAGCCTAAATAATAAATGTAATATCTCTCTTAAAAAAAAAAGAGGGGTTTAGATGGGAAGTGTTTAAAGGCTCTTTGAATGCGTTGACTTTGTTGTGTGGTGAGTTCTTGACTTCTCTTGATTTTTCCTGTCTCTATTTTTGTTGTGTTTTACATTTTTTTTCAGTGGTTATTGTGAATTCCCTATTATATATTGTGTGGTTGTTGTTGCTTCTTTGTTCTAGATTGGTTTTCTTTGGTTCCCTTTTGGTGTTTTCTTTTTATTATTTTTCGCTCTATTGTAATAGGTGGAGCCATTAGCTCATAAGTTTTACTTCAATAATTTTATTTTTAGAGATCTTTTGATTCTCTAAGGATCTGTATTTCTTTTGTTTATAGAACACGTAAATTCCTCTATGGGTTGATTTTGAGTTAGAGGTTTTCCTTACTATAAAAGCGATGGAAGATAATGAATTAGTTAACTCCAACCCTATAGTAACATATTGAAGTAATTTCTAATGAATTTCAGCATATCATTCAATTATCTTATGATCCAATTGAACATCTCATTAAGCTATCATAACAATTTCTTGTAATAATCTGCTTATATTTTATTCACCAATACAAGTTAATCATTCAATCAATATTAAAAAGTAATTGTCTATATTGCACGTGGACAATGCTACAAAATATGTGATCCATCAATTTATTTATTTATTGTAAAGATAGATATATAATGATATAAGTTTATCATTTGTTCATTAAGTATAAACTAAAAGGTTAGCACAAATATATAATGGGCATAAGACTAAGTATAGATATTATTATGGGTTTGTTTGAGACTCTGGTAATTTTTTATAATATGATTATAAAGTTATTGTAGGAATAATAATTTAGTTACTATGATTACAAAAAATAGATTTTCCCTACATAAAATTTTGAAAATATTGAGAAAACAGTAGCTACATAAAATTATTGTTGTTGTCTGGAAAATAAAACAGTACTGAGAAAATTATCCTGAGCAAACTCTAAATCTATGTGGAATTGGAGAAATTTCTTATAGTTGCATTCATTAAAATTGAAGTTTGAAATTTCTAAATTAGAAATCAATGAGTACATTAGTTAAGCCAAAACTCTTTGATATATCATCCATCAAAGGTTATAATATTCATTTTCTATCAAACTCTTATCAGATCTCCATGAAACGTCATAGAGAAATCTCTAGTGGGAACTTAATAAGTTTGAAGAATCCATAATATATGATCTGCTTCTATCTAATTTTTTGAGACTACAAATTATTTATTTTTATTCACTTTATTTTGACAATCTTTATAATCATGTCTTGTATTATTTCTCTATGGTTTCTTAATTTCTCACAACTTTGAATTATCATCGATTCCTAGGCTTTATTTAAGACAATTTTTTTAGTGATTTTAAAAGTAGTTTTTTAATAAAAAATTAAAATTGTTATACTAAAAAATTACTTTAAAAGTAATAAGAAAACCGTCTGAAACAAAGTCTTAGGTTTTATTTGAGACGACTTTCTTATTTCTTCTTAAAACAGAGTTTTAATACAAAAATTTTAAAAGTTAAAATTTTATATTAAAACTCTATTTTAAAAAAATAATAAAAAAGTCGTCCCAAATAAAACCTTAATCTTATGAATTATATTTTTAATTTTTATAATAAGATGAAATTATTCTCCATGAAAAAAAATCTTTAATGTTTGTGGATTATTTTTTAAAATAAAAAAACTCGAATTAAATTTATAAGCATAGTTAAAAAATAAATAATAGAAAAATTTATTCAATGCATTCTTACTCATAAAATCAAATTTCTTAAGAGATTTTTGTTCAGAATTGAATTTTTGACCTGTAAATTCTGCCTTAAAGAAGAACATTATAAAGAAAAACCAAATATCCGAGTTGAAAAGTAGAAGTCCCACCACGAGATGATGGCTTTATAAGAATTTTCTCTCTCTCCTCCATAAATTGCCACCAATTCTTCCACCCCCCCAATGCTAACAAAAAAATTCTTCGTTCCCAACCGTTTACAAAAATCTTCCTTCTCAAATCTTAAGCTTCTCAATCCCCTTCTTCTTCCTCAATTTGCTCTAATTCCAAAGCCCAAATCCATATCTTTTCTCACAAAACAGAACAAGAAAAGCTTTTCAGCCATCATGTCGAGCACCTCAACCAATACCATTTCCGATCTCCATGAAAACCCTCAGATTCTGAAACCAAGAACTGTGATTAAGAAGGTTTTAGCTCAGGAGCAGGCAGAGGGTGTGGGAGCTACAGTTCGAAGAAGTATCGGAAGGTAATCGCTTTCCCTATTTTTAAATGCTGTATTGGGTTTTCGATTTTGATCTCAATTGAGGTTTTATGGCGTTCTCTCCTCAGGCCGGAGCTTCGGAATTTTGATCCGTTTCTACTGCTGGATTATGCAACTTGTTTGTTTCTTTTCTCCCTTCCTACTCTTTTCTTCGTCTCTGTTTCTGCTGATTTCTGATTCTTGATGTGGTCTCTCTCCCAATTTGTGAACAGTTTCTCCTCCTGCTGGTTTCCCAGATCACCCTCATAGAGGTAACAAAGTTATCTTAAATTCACAACAAGAAAATAATTTTTCGTTGCTTTTGCTGCTAATTTCATTCCCAGAAAGTCAATAACATAGGAAAATTAAATTTTCTCTTTCTGTTTTTGATCGTGTTCGTGCAGGATTTGAGACTGTGACTTACGTCTTAGAGGTAACACAAAGTTTTCTCATTTAGACAAGTAATCAAATCTCTTCGGTCTCTTTGGGTTGCATTATGCTTGAATTTTATTCTTTCCGAGAAGAAAATTGAAAAACTGAGATCGATTCATAATTTTCTTTTGAAATAATTAAACCTACTGCACAAGAGTTAGATAGAGGATATCGCTGCTTCTTTGAAATTTCAAGCTAATTCTATTGCCTGATGCTTACTGAACACAGGGAAATCTCGCCCACGAAGATTTTGCCGGCCACAAGGGAACCATCGGACCCGGAGATCTCCAGGTCTGCTCTTTAAACATTCTATTCAGGAAAAAAAAAAAGTCAATAACTCAGTAATTGCACTAAACTTATATGATTCATCGCCCAATTCTTCAACCTTTCTTCTGCAGTGGATGACCGCCGGCAGAGGAATCCTCCATTCGGAAATGCCGGTGGGCAATAGCGTCAACAAGGGGCTCCAGCTCTGGATCAATCTCTCTTCCAAAGATAAAATGTAAGGGAAAATAATGAAAAAAATTGTGTCAAAATATCTCTTGATATAAAAATATTTTCTTGATCACACATGTTTGATAAAATATAAGGGCTTCTTTTGGGACAGTTTTCTAAAGAAACTTTTTAGCGCATGTTTTTTTTTTTAAATAGGAAAAAAGTTGTCCCAAACAAGAGAGATTATTATGTACGGACACCGAACACAGTTCGCCGTCCTGAGACCAATCAGAATTAGCTATGTCAACAGTATCGAGCTCATTACCGAGCCACAGTACCGAGCTAGGTACCGAGTAGGGGTGACGTGGCGCATTCTGATTGGTCTCCGATCGGCATCCGCACAGAATAATTTCATCCCAAATGAAGCCTTAGAATATTGAGTGATAAATCATAAGATATGTGGCTCTAACTCATGACATTGGAGATACAATCATTTCCTTAAACTAATGAATCACTAGTCCTTTCACCTTCTATTCACTCACAAATAGTGGAGAAATTAATTGAATTTATACTGTATATATTTCAAAGTAAATCTAACAACAATAAAATTCTTGAACAACAATAAAATTCTTGTGATCATTAACTGATCTGATCCTTTTGTCTTCTAATTTGCAGGATAGAACCAAACTATCAGGAGCTCCAAAGCAAGGATATAAATAGAGTCCAAAAGCAGGGTGTTGACGTTCGCATCATCGCAGGGGAAGCCTTCGGTGTGCGTTCTCCGATCTACACCCGAACTCCGACCATGTATCTTGACTTCACCATGAATCCTGGAGCTCAGCTCCACCAACTTATCCCTGAAGGCTGGAATGCATTCGTCTACATTATAGACGGCGAGGGGGTCTTCGGCAATGAAGGCTCCTCCCCTGCTTGGAGCCACCATACGTTGGTTTTGAGCAATGGAGATGGAGTGAGGGCGTGGAACAAGTCGGAGAAGCCATTAAGGTTCTTGCTCATTGCAGGGAAACCGATAAATGAGCCGGTGGTTCAGTATGGACCGTTTGTGATGAACACAAATGAAGAGATAGAGCAAGCTTTTGAGGATTATCAGTTCTGTAAGAATGGGTTTGAAAAGGCTAGATATTGGAAGAGGAGGGCGTAGAGGTGCTTTTAAGTGATGAAATTTGGAAGGAAATTGTGAGTTCAAGGGGAAGTGTGATGAGATGTGTTATTAGGTCATTATCATATGTGTGAGATCTAATTTCAAGTTTTTTTTTTTTTTAGTATTGAGTGATGTGATTTGTTGCATTTTATTTAATTTTTTGGCGGTTTTGTTTTATCATTATATTTTGATATTAATTAACTTTGATTAAGTTAATTAAAAAGGAGAGATTATTCTGTGTGGACGCTGAACGAAGTTCACCGTCTAGAAATCGATCAACCAGAATGTGTCAAATCAAGGGTACCAAGCTGTGGTACTGAGTCTGAGCAAGGGGCGTTGTGGCTCATTCTAGTTAGTCTTCGGACGATGTTTGGCATCCGCATAGAATAATTTCACGAGGCAAAGGCCCTCAAATCACTTAAATCCTAATGTATTTGCATGTGTGCTCTCTTATTTTGCTTCTCTCTCTCTCTCTCTATGATGGATGTTCTCTTTCATCCTAAGCAAGCCAACTCGGAGAACACCATCTTATTTTTCTCATCTTACCTCTTAAAGCCATAAATAGGAGGCAATTCAAGCTAAAACCCCACTCATGCTCACATTAACAACTTTTGCACTTTGCTAGTTATTCATTGGAATTCCCTGTGTGTATTTTAATTCAATATATGTATGTGTCTATATATAGTCTCCTAATATTATTAGGAATGATGGAGAATTAATATTTATGTCACTTGTAATATTCAATTAAACATGATATCCATGAATATAAACTATCATAATATAATTTATAAGGACATGCTTACTTAGCATGATCACCTTTTATAAGGTCCTAATGATTTTCTTGAAACCAACAACGTATATATGTATAATAGGATAAGTAGAAAACCTAGTAGATCACACAAAATTTATCTAAGAATATAATACACAATGAGAGAAATAATATGTAATTAAAGCCATTTCAGTAATCAAACCAAGGTTGGTCATATTGATGCATACATACATCAAGAATAGAAGTGCCATTATGGTATGTCAACTAAGAATATGATGCATCATCCAATTAGAATAGTAAAATTCATCCACTCTCCACAACAATTTACCGAGGTGAAAAATTTTAAAAATTATTTTGGCTTACAAAGAGTCAATATCCAGTCGAGAATATCACTATGATTCATTCTCAATCCATCTATTGCCAATAAGGACGTGACATTGGTCAACTAATCGGTGGTTTGGCCAGCAACTCCACAAATTACCAGTGGTTTGTCCATATGGCTATGCATGGTTAATGATTATGACTGTGACCCTCTAACCTAGTGGCTTGGACTAACGACTCCACTGTATTATGGTTGCAATCATAACTCGTATGTTCCCAAATGACTTCAATTCTTTGCGATATGAGTTAATAGGATATAATCGATATGACACAAAATCCTCTATTAGCTAAGGTGGATTCAAAATTTTCCCCTTATACAAATATTCACTCCAGGTCTACAATGTTCCCTTGGACGACACAACCCATGGCTGTCAACAAAGATCCTTATGTTGGGTTGGGTCGACTACCTCCTCTAACTAAATAGAAATGGACCATGATGACCCTGGACGACAGAACCATGGGATCTTGATCGAGCACATCATCACTTCCGCTTCCATCCACTTTAAGTGCAAGATGGTGAAATTTCTAATTTTACATATCAAGTCTCAAAACTAAGCTCAGGTTGCTAGTATATGCTAAATACTGCGTATTTGTTTGATGATTAGCCTTAATTGAAAGTTCTCTCTCGCCATCGGGAGGGGTAATTAACTATAGGAGCTTGCACCTGCATGAAACTAGAACATAGATCTAAAGGCCTCACAAAATGAGGGTGGAATCTCTGGGTAATGTTTAATTCAAAACCCAATATGCCTTCTGAAAACTTACCCTGGAACTTAAGTGTTAGAACTCTCCTCGACGATCGAAAGAAAGAAAGGGGGTTCACAGAGAGGTCGGGGCACAAATTTTCGGAGCCCACAGGTCTTAATGATAAGATATTAAAAGAATTTTCGCTTAAATTTTATTGAATTTGTGGTATGAAAATGCTCCCTAAACAAATCTAATAAATAAACTAATCATGCATCTTTGTCGAATAAAGAAAAAAAAGAGAGCAAGAAAGTCGCACCACAAGATGACAACAAGCTTTGCATAAGAATTTCTCCATCTCCTCTGCATGAATCCCCACCAACTATTCACCCCCAACTAATTACAACTTTCCTTCTCTAATCTCAACCTCCTCAATCTCCCTCTTCTCCCCCCATCTTTTCTTCCAAAATCCAAATCCAGCTCTTTCATCATAAAACAGAGCACAACCATCATGTCCAGTACTTCCACCGCTCACATAGCTGTTCACCATGAAAACCCTCAGATCCTGAAGCCAAGAACCGTCGTTAAGAAGGTTTTAGCTAAACAGCAGCAAGAGGGTGCCGGAGCTATAGTAAGGAGAAGTATTGGAAGGTAATTGCTTCTCTGATTCTATTTCCTATGTAGTTTCATTGGCTTGTTGAGTATTGGCGTTTCTCTCATCAGGCCAGACCTTAAGACTCTCGATCCTTTCCTTCTGCTGGATTATGCAACTGGTTTGCTTCTTCCTTCCTCTTCCTTGTAGTTTCTTCCTCTCTGTTTCTGCTGATTTTTCCCTTCTGATGTGATTTCTCTCCCAAACTGTAAATAGTTTCTCCTCCTGCTGGTTTCCCTGATCATCCTCATCGAGGTGAGCAAGTAAATCTGAATTCCAAAAACTTGTAGTTTTTTTTTTTTGTTTATTTCTACGAACAGAAGAGGGTTTTTCTTGTTTCTCTGTTTTTGATCTTCTTCAAGCAGGATTCGAGACTGTGAGCTACGTGTTAGAGGTAACTCAAACTTTTTTCTCATGTAAAAAAGCCATTGAAAAAATTTAATTTTTGTTCATTAACCAGCTTTTTCAATTCAACTTCATGGAAAATTATATTTTTTTTAAAAAACAAATGAACTTGCTTCATAATAGTTTTCTCTTTCGCAAAATAAAGAAAAAAAAATATTACAAAATAGAGCATTAGAGGAGAAGCTACAGTCTGATGTCTGCTGAAATTCAGGGAGCCATCACCCACGAAGATTTTGCTGGTCATAAGGGAACCATCGGAGCCGGTGATCTCCAGGTATGTTCTGTAAAAATAAATAAATAAATAAATATGTCATTTTTAACCTCAATCAAATGAGTTATTGCTTCTTCAATCGTTCTTCTGCAGTGGATGACGGCAGGCAGAGGGATCATCCACTCTGAGATGCCGGCCGGCGACGGAGTAAATAAGGGGCTTCAGCTCTGGGTCAATCTCTCTTCCAAAGACAAAATGTAAGCAAAAAAAAAATCATTAATTTATTTTTAGAAAATAGAAATTTTGTTTTTATACCATTTTGAATTTTTTTTTTTTTAATTTTGTGAAAGTTTATGAAATTTAAAATTTTTATTGATGTGTTAGTTCATCTTATCAAAAGTTAGTAGGGACAATTAGGCATTGGCTAAGTTTTAAATTTGAAGGGCAAATATGTTTAATGTAGGAGAAATTATTAGATGCGGAGTTCGGACTGTGAGAACTGTTTGGATTTATTGTGTATTTGCTGCATATTTATAAATAATCAGTAAATTTTCAATTGTGAGTATTACTGAGTATTTTGTGAGTATTTGCTGAGTACTTTGTGAATATTCGTCGAGTATTTTATGAGCATTTGTTGAGTATTGCTGATTTGTTGCATATTTACTGAGTATTTGTAAATACTCAGTATATACACAACAATTTGAATGATTATTCCAGTCCGGACTCTGCACAGAAAATGTTTGGCTTAGGTGATTTGTATCATGTAGGGATGCTACCTCTTTCATTAGCTCATCAAGGTCACTCATAAGCTATTTATTGAGCCATAAAGGAGTGATAGATGATTTTATTTATAAGAAAATGTTTGGCTCAAGTGATTTGTATCATGCAGGGATTATGCCTATCTGATTTTCATGAGCTTAGCTCATTAGCTCATCAAGCTCAACTCAAGTGCTATTAATCGAGCTAAGTTTGAAACAACTTGAGTCACTTACACCCCTAGTCGACCCTTGATACTCCAAGCCTATATTGCCACCTATTTTTGTAGCTGAATGACAAAATATTATATTTTTATATTACACACACAAAATAAAATAAAATATCAAACATTAAGAGGTTGTTCGGTAGTAGGATTTAGACCGGATTTGAGGCAGATTTGAGCGAAATCCAGCCAACCGGCCTAAAATGGAGAACCAAATCTCACGGTAAATGAAAGCCGCCCCATAGACGAAAAATTCCACCTTTTTGTGCTAAATCCTGAATTTCCAAAATCCCGATTTTGCCCAGATTTACAAAATCTGTAGGCTCGAGAGGAAGAGTCCGCTCATTAAATCCGTTCTATAGCCAAACAGTCACATAGAATTTAATAGAATTTATCATGAATGTTACCAAATAGTTTTTAGAATTTAGACCTCTCAATAAAAAATGTTATAAATTTAAGAGCTCCATTGCGAAATGTGCAGGATAGAACCAAACTACCAAGAGCTCCAAAGCAAGGACATAAACAGAGTTCAAAAGGACGGCATCGACGTCCGCATAATAGCAGGAGAAGCATTCGGTGTGCGCTCCCCCATCTACACACGAACTCCAACAATGTTTCTGGATTTCGCCATGAATCCCGGATCTCAGCTTCACCAACCCATCACTGAAGGCTGGAACGCCTTCGTCTACATTATAGAAGGCGAGGGGGTCTTCGGCCATGAAAGCTCCTCCACTGCTTTGAGCCACCATACTTTGATTTTGAGCGATGGAGATGGAGTGAAGGCGTGGAACAAGTCGAGAAGGTCGTTGAGGTTTCTGCTCATTGCAGGGCAGCCATTGAATGAGCCGGTGGTTCAGTATGGGCCGTTTGTGATGAATACGCTTGAAGAGATAGAGCAGGCTTTTGAGGATTATCGGCTTTGTAAGAATGGGTTTGAGAAGGCCAGAAATTGGAAGAGGCGGGCATAGAAGCTCTGTCCAATGAGTGCAGTCATGTCAGCGGTATAGAGCTGCGGTACCGAGCAGTATCGGACCACGGTACAATGAAAGGGTGACGTGATGCTTTCTGGTTGGTCTCAAAATGGTGTTCGACATCCAAACATAATAATTTTTCTTGTTCAAGTGGTAGAGTTGGGCAATGTGTTAGGAGGAAGAGAGAATTATATTATTATCTTTTAAAAGGATGTAATCATTTATTATCACATGTTGTTAATCATTTGTTATAAATTTTAATGGCTTAAGTTTTAAATAAATAAAGTGGTTGATAATGTAAGAAACTAGTTAAAAATTTTAACTTGTTTTACTTTCTAAATTTTGTCACTGCTGGTTGGTTAAGTTCTATAATGCTTACAAACATTATTATTAAAAAAAAAATTTGTTGGATGATAAAAATCATCAATCAATAGAATCTCGGTTCCTTTGATGATTATACAAATCATGTTTGTGTTTATTGAGTGCTAGGAAATTATGCTTGTATTAATAACAAATATTTGCAGCTAGTTCATCTTAATCTGTTAGTTGAGAGCTTTGATTGTTGGAGACAAATTTTTTTTTCTCCTCAAAGCTCTCAACATCATAAGCACAATTGAGAATGAAGATAAAAAAAATCAACCATCTGATCTTATAAAATAAAATTTAAATGATAAACTTTATTTTACCATCAATAAAATACAATGATGATCAGGCACAATTATTATATGAATTTGTTCATCATAATGAGATACAACGATGTCAATAATGCTTCATCAATATGATTCACGTGCAAGACACATTAATTTTGAATTCAACTCAATAAGACACTCATCTTCGAACCATAATTAAAAAAATGAAAAAGAGGTACCACTAATTTAAGATCCATAATTATTTTGAAAAATTTTTTAGTTATAGCAAAAGAAGCTTTCATTTGGCTCCCCCAATATAGAAAGATAATGAAAAAGAGTAGCAACTTCTCAAAATCTAGCCATTATCTTCACAACTAGTATTTGAATTGTCTCAATCATTGATGTCTAAAGTGATATTATCATTATATCCAACTTCAAATGACATATAACTTTCCTATGCAACTAGGGGTGTCAATTCGGGTCAACAAGTCAGGTTTGAATTGAACCCAACTTGATCCTGCCGTAAAAAGGTTGACACTAATCCGACCTGGTTTTACAAAATGGTCAGGATTGTCTACCCGGACCCGACCCATGCAAGTTATCGGGTTGACCTGACTTGTCCCGCACACCAAAAGGGTCAGACGAGCAAGGCCAACTAGCGCAGGCGACGAATGACCAGCGGACACGACATAATGGCGGCACGACTTGACGCGGCCAGTTCAAGTTCCCGGGTCAAATCGGGTTAGTTTCGGGTTTCCAGATCAACCCGAACCCTACCCGATTTTACAAACGAATCAGAATTCTGAACTCGAACCTGACCCATTTCTCAAATGAGTTGACCCTAACCCGTAATTTTAGGATGGAGTTCTGATCAGATTTTAGGGTTGTGTCAGATATATATTAACAATTCTCTTTTAAAGCATTTAGATTATTGTGTTTTGTAAGAGAAAAGTCTATCATGGAATAGCCATGAAAATTAAAAAAATAATAATAATAATTTCTTCTTGCTAGATATAATGTTGAAGTTGAATTCAATGCTATGGCACACTTTTGTCTATGAAATAATGTGATAAAAAACCTTATAGAAGAATTTGGCTTTTATATTACTTGGAAAGCAATGCATATTGCTAGCAACTATATTTTTCACAAGAAAATAAAATATATTGAAGTTGATTGTCAATTCACTCACATATGTTATTCTTTTAAAGAAGACATAACTCTTCATATCTCTAACAAATAAGAGATACATATCACAAAATTATTATATATTTATATATCTAATATGTGAATCTTTATATTTAACATTTAAATTTCTAAATTACATTAAAAAAAATATTTACAAGTATTAATTTATTTAAAAAAAACACATATTTCAATACATATACCTTAATGTGATTTTGACACTAAAATAATATAAACATAAATGCAAAATTTAAATGTTAGATGTGTAAATGTAAAAAAGATTTATGACATGCATGTAAATCTCCTAGAAATATTTACAAAGACTATGCAACCACTTCATTTCCATAATATTTACATCAACCTATATCTTCTTATTATATATGATCTAATTTAAGAGTGAATATTACTGCAGAGAATTTACCTAAACGTTGAATAATAAAAGCACAGTAAACTTTGCTTTTAATGTTCATCATTACACTTTTACTATTCATAGAGACAAAACTTAACAATTCTCTGTGTTCTGTCTCGTGACCGAACGTAATAATCTCTCCCCCACAAGAAAATGCTTAGACTCTTTTTTATGTATATTGTGACATAAACATGTAACACGTCACTGAAATTACTATGCTCAAAATATTGGATTAACTTATCAACTTAGAATCTTTCTTAATAGTACAAATTCAGGATATCTTTAATATACTTTGTTATAGATCTATATTGTCAGTAATATCCCTTCGGTGATCATTTCAGCTAGTAAAACAAGGTGCCTATATAGCGAAAACTCTTCTAGAGTATACTGGGCTCCATCAAACTAATGAACTTTTGAACTACTTTACAGTATTTACAATGTAACAATTATAAAATACAAAGTATAATTAATGACTTTGATTAGTTATGGTTAACTGTATAAAAAGTATGATAAGAATGCAATAATATTGGCTTCAAAATCACCCGTTTGATATGAAAATTAGTGTTATATATAATATCCTGAAGTGGCACTAATATTAAGGCAAATTGGATGGCACATTTCCTCTAATTCTGATGCAAAATACATTTTCCATCAGAATATGTGCACGTTTTTCTCATATAAAACAAATTTGGACGTTCGAAAGGTGCCCAATTGCTGAGAAATTATTCTATGTGGAGGCCGGATGCAGCTCTACATCCGGAGACGAATCAGGTGCATCCATATCAACAGTACCGAGCCGCCGTATCAAGCGAAGAGGTGATGTGACGCACTTTAGTTGATTTTCGAACGGCGTTCGGTGTCCGCACATAATAATTTTTCCCAATTGCAATTCTCTTCAATACCGTATGCCAAAGATTTTTTAGATATGGATAACTCATGTAAGGGGTTTCAAATGAACGAAATAAATAGAAGAAAATATTTTTACAACATTTACAACAAGCTTATTTCTTAAGCTAGTGATCAGCAATCGTATGCAACAAAACCAAAAACAATTGGACATCCTTGAGGTCAACAATTGAATAATACAAAATTAATTAGAGGAAAAAAGCATATACCAGTCAGCAAAAAAAAATCTCTGGCAGTATTCCTTCACTCATTCTCCAATTTATGTTGTGAAAAGCAAGTAAACGAGACCCTTCAGGTATTCAACTATTTCGGATCCTCCTAGTTTCGAAGTTCCATAAACTCTGTCCACAAATGTTATCGGAACCTACACAAAGTAGGGGGAAATTTCGACTAATAAATTGTTCTGATAAACAATCAGCACCAACTAGTGTAATATATTTCAATAGGTATTGCATCATCATATGTAGCATCAGCATTAGCTTTATCTCAACTATTTATGATCAACTTTCTTATCCTCAGTTCTCCAATTATTCATATCTAGGTGAAAGAATTTGAAGCCTAATGATTGGAGAGATTATTCTGTGCTGACGCAGAATACAGCTCTACATCAGGATACCAACTAGAAAGAGCCACGTCAGTGATACCGACTGCAGGTTTAGGTATCCGAACGGGGTTCAGCTTCCGCACAGAATAATTTTTCCGATGATCGACAGAGAAGGTCATTTCTCCAAAGCCATGGATTTATCTCGCTTACCATTCCCAAAAACAATTATCCTTGATTAGTGCTGCATGAGGCATTGAAACTATTTTGCACAATATTGATCAAGTTAATTTTCTCTCTCGTTTTCTACCTAATCATTTTACACTAATTTTACATATTATCTTATTATTGCATCTTCTACCATTTGTTGTATATGATCAAACCACTTGTGTCTTTCTCTCTAATCATTACAAAAATCAGAAGATTCAAAATAGAAAACTAGAATATTACCTCTTCAATATGATAGCCTTTCCTGCTGGCTCGGACAATCATCTCCATCTGAAATACATATCCTTTACTCACAACGGAGTTTATGACATCTTCGAGAACAGATTTCTTATAAAGCCTGTAAATAACAATTAAGTCAGGCATCAGGAAATTGAAGCTCAAAAAGAAACTTGGCGCTTCTAACTGAAAGGACGTACCTAAATGATCCAGTAAGATCTGACACACCAGGCCATAAAAATGTCTGCGCCAATACATTTGCTCCTCTGCTAGTCAATTTGCGCATAAGATTCCAGCCATGAACACCACCACTTTTAACATAACGGGTGCCAGTAACTATATTGGCCCCGGTTTCCTTTTGCTTCCTGCTCAACAATGGATGGTATAACATAGCGATATTGCCACCAAACTAATTTTCAACATTACATTATTTAACCATCTCATGAAGCACCAATGAGATAAGTGGCTTTATCCTTAGAGATAGAATAAGAAATGAGCATATACGTGAAAATGTTGGAGTAGCTCCAGTAGAAGATAAGTTTAGAGAGAGTCGTCTTAGATGGTTTGGTCACATTAAACGGAGGCCTTCCGATGACCCGGTTAGAAAAGTTGAGGTATTAGATTTGACTTATTTTAAGAAAAGTAGAGGTAGACCTAAAAAGACTTGGTTAGAAAATATTAGAAATGATCTTTCTTTATTAGATTTAAATGAGAATTTGACTTTTAAAATGACACGATGGCGAAAAAGGATTCATGTAGCCGACCCCGCGTAGTGGGGCAAAGGCTTAACATTATTGTTGTTGTTGTATGTTGGCACTGACATGGCAAATTAAAGACATTTATTGGGAAAAATTCAACAGTAGCATCTTTATTTACCACTCTTGATCAAAAGAATAATGATGGTACAAAATTTTACTGGAAGATCAATCAGAAGCAAGATGACCAATATTGAGAATTCAATTTTAACCATGGTACTGTCAAACTTTGGCCAATAAAAAATATCAAAAAAATGAGAAGGGGTGTAACTAACTCAATAACGGGGATCATCTGTCTGGTATCTGTCAAAGCATAGTACTCGAATTCCAAAATGCCTCAAGAATACAAATGAGAATGAAATGAGGAAGAAATGGCTATTTATATCAAGTAATGCAGGTCCCGTGAAAAACTACAACAAATATAGAATGCAACAAGAAAATCCTACTACTGCGACTATTCATATACACTATTGTACATTTTATTAAATCACACATACTCTTACGCTACTGGAGAGATAAAACTGTTTTCATAGTAATGATTTGGACTCTCGAAATAAAATTATCTAATTTAGAAACCTTAAAACACAAGAGACCCAACAGAAACAACATTCGGACAGCACCCACCTTTATATAAATTTTTTTATAAAAAGAGGCTTCAATTAATTTGTTTTTTATTATTTATCTACTAAGTTAGAGGAAACGAGCAGGTGATTGCATAAAAACTGTGGATCAACAAGCTAAAGTTAGTTTGAATAGAATATTTTTTCCCTGTCAACGGACCAATAACAATAGCAACATAATTTTTATAACAAAGCTCCTAATAGTAAAATTAGCTAGCGGTGAAATCAAAATGTGCATAAAAAAAAATAATGATGAGAAGCTTTGTTATGAAAATTGGTTTAGTTGTATTGTTATGGATGTCCTTGCTAAACATTTGCAAGAGGATGTACCCTGGTGTATGCTTTTTGTTGATAATATTCTTAGATTTGGTTAGGTTAAGAAAAGTAGAGGTAGACCTAAAAAGACTTGGTTAGAAAATATTAGAAATGGCCTTACTTTATTAGTTTTAAATGAGAATCTAACTCTTAACATGACACAATGAAGAAAAAAGATACACATAGCCGACCCCATGTAATTGGATAAAGGCTTGATGTTGTTGTTGTTGTAACAATATCAACATAATTGATTGCATCAGACTCATACAATTCAAAATCTGAATCCAACTAAGTGGTTATGGCTACAATAAAACGGTTTAAAAAAAGCCATTAAAAAAAAGAACTCTTCAGAAATGAGATTCTACATAACGGTCTGAAGCTCTTAACACCAATAATGAGAATGCAATAAACTTTTGGCACTAAAATCTTTAAAACAGAATAAAACACACCCTTGTTAACACATTTCAGATTAGAGTAGCTTAAACTGCTGCAATATCTGAAAGAGTCAAATCAATGGTCCGTTAAACTACAAAAGTCTCTCTGTAATGAAGTACGATGAGGTCAAGGAAGCCAACCACTCCATGTACTCCTTTAGCCGATTAGCCTTTTTTATGGCTTGCCCTCCCACTCCTCCATCGCCAGTGGTCACTTCATTCACTCCATTCATTCCCCTCAAGCGCTCCACCACAACCCCCACCTCCTCATCCACCAGCTATTTGATAGAAGAACCAAAATCTTAGTAACACTAATCTCCATGGAAAATGCTTGACCAACCAGGTTCCTCCGTAGACACAGCAAGTGATTTTCAACGGGGAATAATGAGATGGATTGAAAACGTGTATCAATACATTGCAAATGACACATTTAGCAAAAATTATGGAGGCAAATTAAGATCATCATCAGTGTGTAATGGGAAGAGATGCATTAAAGGATTTGTGGCGAGTATAGATGCATGAAGCAGGCAAGAATAATAAGAGGGAGGAGATGAGTTCTTTCTAATCATATGATGGAAGGGGAGGAGATTGCATTTAAGGATGCGATTTCAACTCATAAAGCAAAGATTGCTCAAAGATTAAACTCATTATTAATTAAAAAGCCAAGCCATGAACCACATTTTTAGCTCATTCCGATATTCAAGACAATTTCAAGCTGGGCCTTGATCGAATCGAGTCAACTTGAGATAAGTTCATTACATAAATAGTATGTATATTTTTAAAATTAATATATAAATGCTTATGAATATATGCCTATTAAATATTTGTTAAAATTTAAGAAAAGGAAAACAAATGATTGAAGTCAACTCAATTCAAATTTGACCCTACTCAATTCTAATTTGGAGCATCTTGAAATCAAGTTGATTTAAGTCAGCTCAAAATCAAATCAATTTGATCCATGAGTCGATTATAAGCCATCTAATCATAAAATCAAGTCATTATAACACCTATTTGCATTGTGGAAGATGGAGGAAATGGAATGGCATATTTGTTTTGTCTTAAACTTGAGTGGTAGGTTGGTAAATCATGAAGATTAGATGGCAGATGAGCAAATGGAGAAGTTTTTATGTGTTTATACCAATTAAAGCTTAAAAAAAACATAACTATACTGAGATGTCTCCAGATTCTTGTTAAAAAGCGTAAAAGTGTCATAACACGGAAACTCACCTAATGAAACTTGGTAAATATTTTGGCTGCAAAAAGGAGTAGAAAGAAGAACATAGATTAAAAAAAGAACAAATAAACTTGATAGCCAAAAAACATTAAGCAGCATTCTTACATGATGAGACAGATCTGCATCCATGATTATTACAAAATCTCCAGATGCATGCTTCAGCCCATGACAATAGGCAGTTCCTGTACCCCTTTTTAGATCAAAAACTTAAAGCTTTTTTATCTAAAGATAAAAGATAAAAGGAATGGCCAGCACATACCTAGACCAAGCTTACTTGGTCTTGCTCTTAATAGCTTGGAATCATCAAGTCATTCAGTAGGGTTAATGGCACCAATATAATCAGAGAGATAATTAAATCGGATTAAATCTATAAGAGAATGCTTTCATAAAAATAAAAGTGAATCATGTTCCTACAATGCGCTCTTCACCATATAGTTGCTGAAGTTGTTTTACCATGTCTTGAGTACCATCAGGACTACCATCGTCTACAATTATGACTTCAAAATCCAATTCCCTGTAAAATCAAACATCGAATGCTTATAGGACTTTTAGAAATGCTAATTATGTTTTACACCATCAGGGCATTTTAGCATGTAAAATTTATTAAATTGTTTACCTTTCTAAGAAAATATGGTGCATTAAGGAACAGTAGGCATAAGCAACAACATAAAGAAAACTATATTTTAGGGAAATTAAAACTAAAATGGTATGGTATCTAGAGAATCTCCAGCTTGGATGATGAGCGGATAGCTACTTTATTAGAGTCTCATTTTTGTCTGATCTTTAAACCAATCTAATTAACTTTTGTAAACATAACTCTCACAAAGAGCTTTAATCACCAAAATCTTCGCAGAACTTTCATAATCAGCAGTTAACAAAAATAAAGCTAGTTTTAAGGAATTTCTACGGTTGTATGAATGAGACATTGAATTTCATTTCCATGTCATTTTAACATTTTGAATGTTTGGTTTGAAGTAAAAAAATGCAAAAAAAAAAAAAAATAGTAATACCCCAAAAGACCCATTTGGTCATTTCCCATGTATTCAAAATTTGTCCTATCAAAGTGAATTTGAATACACTATTCGCAACCCTCTCTCCCTGGGCGAATTATTGTGTCCGGTCACTTGACCTCCGGACAACGAATCCAGATGCGCCACGTCACCCAAATACACTGGCCCCGGTGTGTATTTGGGTGACGTGACGCATCTGGATTGGTGTCCGGACGAATCCGGACACCAGACGCAATAATTTGCCCTCTCCCTGATATTCTCCCTTGCACCTCACATCCTCCCATCATAACCCCTCATTGTTGTGTAGCCTCATTGTGTATTGCCTCCCCAACCCAACCATGTAGAACATCATAGTCCTAGCCCTTAACATATAAAATGTGGGGTTGAAAATGAGCTCAATTAGCTCGCAAGCTTGCTTGAACTCGACTATTAATGAGCCTGTAAGTCAAGCTAATCAAGCCGTGAATTTAAGCTGGAGATCAGATTTCAGCTCATGATATACAAGCTCAAATTCGAGCTTGACCCAGTGATACGTTTTGGAAGTAAAAACGGCAAGGTAACAAGTAGAAAATTGTAGGAACAAGAAGTATGGACTGATTTTTTATTATCTTTTCACCAACACGAACATGGGGAAATAAATCTAACACAACATCAACGTGACATCATGGTATGCTACAAAAAGTAGAACATGACACATCATGAAAATGTATCATATTTTATAAAATCTTGTAAAGCCATCACAAGATTTTGATATTAATCCCCCATTTATTTTTTTATATAACGAATTTTAAACTACCCCTTTCAAATAGCCCAAATTAGTGGATTTTCTTTAATTAGTACCCCATGCATGTAGGAAAATATAAGAGGAAAAAGGATATAAAGTTGTAATATTGATCCCATTATGCAATCTTGCAATGCATATGTGGTATCTTTCATGTTTACAGATTTTTCATATGCATAGCCACCTGGATCACATCGTGGAGAAAGGCTTCCTGCCTTCCCACCTATATACCACTACTTAAAGATACATCTTAAGAGTTTATCCCTTCTACAGAACATTTTTATAAAGTTTTATCTTAAAAAAAAAACTTAGTTCTAGCCCAAACTTTAAACTTTCCAAAGAGATTTTTGTGCCACATACGTTTATATTGAAAAACACTGTGAGTTGTGCTTTACATGCAAAGAACTATGTTTTTGGGATACTGTGACATCTAATGTTTTTTGTTTCTAAATAGCTATCTTTTTACTTCATCATGCTAAACACTAAATGTGATCCATGGAAAGAAAGCAAGAATTACTGACATGAGGGCCCTTTACAATTGTGGAAAAGGTAATATAGATTAATGATAGAAATCAGGAGCTGCTATTTAATAGAGACTAGATTATCTATCGGGTTAGCTTCTTTTAACAATTAAAATGATTGATTAAAATATTCTTGAGCGATAAAATTTATTTTAAAATTATGTATTTATACTATAACAGTAGTTCAAAGGAAAGCCATGCCATAAAAGTTGTTGAGCTCCACAAAATAAATTATTAAATTATTGAGTTTCAAAATTGGGAGGATTCCACAACAACATTATATATCATTTCTTTATATTTTTCTATTTTGTGGTGCATAATTAGTTAAAGTACTATACTGAGTGTCGATAAGTGACCCTCACTCTTCATGTGATATCCAAAATTAATAATCAGACTCAGATCCCTCCAATATAAATCCAACCTGACTTCACACGATCTTAAATATATTTAGTATTTATGCTCAAAATGACGACATCTAACCTCTCTCTCCAAAATAAAAATAGGATATTGACATGCTATTAAAACAAAAATAATAATAACTCCATTAAAAAAGTCATCATTTTATTCTTTTTGACCGTGTAGAAGTCTATTATATACCAATAACTATTGACTTTTGATATTTTTACATTGTATTTAATTCAAAAAATATAATAAAATATTTAATTATTTTTAAAATATGTCATCCTAATTAATTAACATCATCGCTACATATTATCCTAAGTTATATGAAATATAAAATGATGTAAAATATTAATCTTCAAGGTCATCTTTATTTAATTGTAATCAAATGAGCAACTTATAAAGGAGAATAGGCAATTAGATGATGCATTGTCATCCATAAATTTTGAAATTATTAGATAAAAATCAACTTTCTAATAATCTTTGTTAAATATTTGAAAGTCTTTGTAGCCGTATTCATCCTATTTAAAAATTAATAAACTATTTTTTTAATCAATTTAACTTAAATTTATCAATCAAGAATAACTTTTTTCATATTATCATTATTTTTAATCAATATAAATATGTCAAAAATAGTAAAATCCATAGAGAAAATTGCACTTAGGCTAAATAGACAGTTATATCTATCATTTTATAAGACAACCCAAATTCTTTGTAATTATATTTTATTAAGATCTCATTTGATATATTTGTGTTGGCAGTTTGCTTTTATTATGCTGTTTGAAATATATTTGTGTTAGTAGTTTGTTTTTATTATGTTGTTTGAAATAAATTCATCATCCTTTCACATCAAATTAAATATGAATTATTTCATAAATCAATTTATATACTCATAAATCATATAGAAAGTGCATAAATAAAATAATAATTTTCAATATATTAGTCAAGTCTCTTACTTAACATTGTTTTTTTTATTAAAGTAATACAAATGCGATAATTACTGATCATGTTTAATATTTCATAAATGTTTGAAGCCATATTAACTTATTGAGCGATTTACATACATAACACAAAATTTTTATATATTGATATATATATTACTTCTACATCTTTATATTTACATATATTAAACTTTAATATTTAAATTATATAAAAATATAATTAACATTATATTATCTCAATTGAAATAAATTATTTCACACATATATTTCAACATGATTTAAATCATATATAAAATGTTATATAAATAAATATAGCTGTTAGACGTACAAATAAATTAAAAAAATTATGATGTATGTATATAAATTTTACTAGTTTCTTTTATTTCAAACATTTCATAAGAAAAAAGTGTGCATTTGGACATTTCTGTTAGTTTTGAATATCTTCTAAATGACATTCACACTATTGTTATGCTTGTTATAAGAAAAAAAAATTATATAGTATTACTTAGAAATCACTTATAAAATGACATTTTAGGTCATAACATATATCTTAAATATTCGTGATGATAGTAAAGAAATGTATTTGAAATTGATGTGTTTCCACGTAAAAATCTTGGTGTCTCTTATGATTCTCGCACACCTCTCTCTTTATATGTATACATGTTAGATCTTTGTACAAAGCTAGGACGAAGAGTGATAATAGACTTCTTTATTATCATTGTAAATGTTTAAGATGGATGTTATGGTCTAAAGTATCATTTTATAAGTAATTTTTAAATAATAATAATATACAATTATTTTTCTATAACAAGTATAACAATAGTATGAATATCATTTAGAAGATATTCAAAGCTTATAGAAATGTTCATATGCACACACTTTTTGTTACAAAAGATTTGAAATAAAAAACTAGTGAGATTTATATACATACATCACAAAATTTTTATTTATTTATATGTTAAGCATCTATATTTATTTATACATCATTCTATATATGATCTAAATCACCTAAAAAGATATACACGAAATAATTTATTTTGCTTGAGATAATATTATGTTAATTATATTTTTATATAATACAAATTTCAAAGTGTTATATAAGTAAATGTAAAGATGTAGATGTTACACATATCAATATATAATAATTTTGTTCTATGTATGCAAATCTTTTAAGAAGTTAACATGACTTCAAGCATTTATAAAATATTAAGTATGGTCAGCAATTATTACATTTGCAATACTTTAAGTCTTAAATAAATAACAAAAATAAGACAAAATAAGATATTTGTCTACTATATTAAAAATAATTATTCTATTTATGCACTATCTATATGATTTTAAGAATATATAAATTGATTTATGAAATATTTCATATTTAATTTAATGTGAAAGGATTGTGAACTTACGTCAAGTAGCATAATAAAAGCAAACTACCAATATAAATATACCAAATGAGATCTTAATAACACATACTTACAAAAAATTTGCATTGACTTATAAAAATGATAGATATAAATGTTTATTTAGCCCAAGTGTCATTCTCTCTATATATTTTACCATTTTTTATTTTGTAAATTTCATTTATTTATGTTGGTTATATTGTCAGATCCATGAAATTATATTTATATGATTGTTTGTTGAGTATATGAAATGACATAAGATTTTTTAGTATATCTATGAAATTTTAATATTTTTATTTCTTTTATTTTTGTTGTGTTATATATATATATATATATATATATATATTATATATATATAGGGAGAGAGAGAGAGAGAGAAAGAGAATATTTTATTCAAATGTTACTATTTATCAATAAAAGCTTAAATATTTAAATTAAACTCATTTTAAAAAATAATCATACTAAAAGTATTATTTAACAGGTGATATATTTGAAGAAAATAGGTGATATATTTGAGTAGTGGATTCAAAATATTTTTTTTTTCTCAACTCGACTGAGCTGTGGATTTGGCGGCTTGCAAAAATGAACGGAGTTTTGACCAACTAGCAACTAGTTAGAGATTTTTTTTCTTCTAAACATAGGAAAAATAGATTTTAAAAGGGTCAAACTTATCTAAATAATCTTCTTTATGTAACAAAGTTGGGCGATCAAGTCATTAATAAGAGTACACGTTTTAGGTATCTTGGATCTATTGTTCAGAGTGATGGTGAAATAGATGGGGATATTATCAGCAGAATTCAAGTTGGATGGTTGAAGTGGCGGAATGCATCGGGCTTGTTATGTGATAGAAATGTACCCCTCAAACTTAAGGGAAAATTCTATAAGATGGTAGTGAGGCCTGCAATGCTTTATGGTGCCGAATGTTGGCCATTAAAAGAGAAGCATAATACTAAGTTAAGTGTGGCAGAGATGAGGATGCTTAGATGGATGAGTGGCTTTACCCTTAGAGATAGGATACGAAATGAGCATATACGTGAAAAGGTTGGAGTAGCTCCAGTAGAAGATAAGATTAGAGAGAGTCGCCTTAGATGGTTTGGTCTCATAAAAAGGCGGCCTTCCGACGACCCAGTTAAGAGAGTAGAGGTATTAGATTTGACTTGTGTTAAGAAAGGTAGGGGTAGACCTAAAAAGACTTGGTTAGAAAATATTAGGAATGACCTTTCTTTATTAGATTTAAACGAGAATTTGGCTTTTAATAGGACACAATGGAGAAAAAGGATTCATGTAGCCGACCCCACGTAGTGGGATAAAGGCTTGATGTTGTTGTTGTTGTTGTTGTATGTAACAAAGTTATAATTTTGAGGGTGGGTGATTTCCCGCCCTGTAGTAGCTATGGTTCCACCCTTGGAGTAGATCTTATCTCTCACCAAACCATTATTAGTTCATTTGATGATTATTGAAGCTTTTTATTTGTTAAACTACCCCTTTTGGAAAAAGAGTGTCATGTATCAATGTAAATATCTTTGCCATGTATTAATGAAAATATCTTGGAATATTACTTAACTTACCAGCATACCTCTCAACTTGAGCCTTCCAACTCTAGACACCTTGCTAAGCAAAAGATTCACAATTGAATTTATGTATTGTAGTTTACTCTTTAAAGGAAAAACATAACAAAGAGATGTCTGAGAGCCTTCTTAAGAATTGTTTATTTCGGGGGGCTCTCGCTTTTTAATATATTAATGAAGATTTTCCATTAGTCATATTCAAAAGAAGAATCTAATTTGATCATGTTATTTAGCCATAATAATTATTGATACATCTTTGCTAGCATCTAAATTGTCGTGCTATTTATATGTTGGAAAATTAACTATATGATCCAAGAGCAACCATCTATACAGATGGCAGCTACATAGCTAAAATTGATGGGAAAAAAAGGTTAAAATTAGTGTTGATCATCTGGATATTACAAACAAACAGTGAAGAAGCAACCAAATAATTTAAATCTTCACAATACTATAAAGTATAAAATGGCACAAAAATAGTAAATTCCAATAAATGGACGGAGAAAGCATTACCGGAGGTGTTTGAAGATGAGGTACACAAGAAGGCCGATGTTGAGGCGCTCGTTGTAGGTTGGTATGATGATGCTATACTTGTTATTCTTCTCCATGCTCAAAGAACAAACCCTAGACGATCAGATCCCAAGGAATCAATTCAAACTGAAGTAGGGCAGCCCAATATCACAATCTGACTCTCAATGACGCAGCCAGCTAGAGGTAGATTCGATTGCAATAAGAGAAAGATTCCAGTGGAAGAACAAAAAAAGCGAGAGGGTTTGGAGATGGTCAGGGGAAAGCAAGCAAGGAACGGAGGACAACAAATGCTCCAAGGAGCAGTTTAGTAGCCTGATTTAAGCAGGATTTACGCAGTATTTACAGTAAATCCTATGTTTTGACGGATTTAAGCGATTTAAACGAATACAAAAGAATACCAGTCGAAGGGGCTGTTTGGCAACAGGAGTTATGCAGGATTTGGGCAGGATCTATGCTAACTCTTGCCAATCAGGATTTAAGCAGCCGGTAGATCTCACGGCGGAGAAAATCCTCCGTTTCCCTCTTTTTTCCGTAAATCCCGGATTTACTCAATCCTGAAGTCCTGCGGATTTACGGGATTTGGCTGAAGAAGCGCGCGAAAAGAAGAACGATAGTTACCTTCACAGCGAGCGACTCCCGTCGCTACGTCTGATCCAACAGGAAGAACGACGAACTTAGCCACTTCCGATTCGCAGTCTAGCGACTCGTCCAAAACCCTACCTCACGCGACGTAAGTCCAAAAGGCAACAGCAACGAATGCAGAAGGAAGAATAAATATAGATTTATAAAATGCAAGTAAATAGATTATTTAACCCTCCTAATTCTACATACCAAACAGTCCCTAAATTGTTTAATTTATGTAATTTATTAAATATAAATTTAAAATTTTAAAAATAATTAGATAATTATTAGTGTTATTTTTATAAACTAGTTTAAATACAGTTACATAAAATGAAAGTTGCTGAAATTTTAAATACAATAATAACATCAAATTTTTATCCCATTTTATGGGATAGCTATATGAATAAATTTTTTTTCATTATGTTCTATCACAAGCTAAATTCTTATTAAAATTTAATAAAAATAAATCGCTTCTAATATTTTCAAACTAAGTATTTTTAAGTATACTTTTATCTTTCTTAACATAAGCCAAATCTAATACGTCTACTCTCTCTCTAACTAGATCATCGGAAGGTTGTTGTTTTCTGTAACCCAATCATCTAAAGTTAAATTTTTAAATATAACAAAATTAATTTAATATTTTATATTTTAATTAGAGTTTGCATCTAAATAATTTAAGATTTAGAAAATTAAGTTAATATATGTGCATAATTTTAATATTAATGAGATTTTAAAAATTAATAAAATATATTTTTTGCAGGATAGAAGAATTTATAAAATTAATACAAAATATTTATAAGATCAAATTAAAAAAGAATTTAAACAAATGGTGCAAATAAAAAAAATTAAAGTTTAATAATAAGAAACCATAAATTATTATTTTTTTTTTGCTATTATTTCCCACTTATTAAAGTTGGCTATAAATGTTTTGAACTAAAGATGAAATTTTAAGTTTTTTTTTCCATGTTCTGTTGGGCGTAACTAAAAATCAATATTATTCTTAAACTATGCAAATGCCTTTAAAGCATTGCCTTTAATGATTTCAATTTTTTGAGTGACAGTTAAATCATTATTTTCTAAAACATATTTCAATATTTGTCTCAAGAAAAAAATATACTACTTGGATATAGTTGATAAGGTATTCAATATTTGTGACTTATATTATTAAGGATGTTTTGAGAACTTCAATACATTTTTTGCTATCCTTAAATTTTTCTTTGCAAAAGAGGATGTCATTTTTATGTGTTGATTTTGTTTTCAGCTTTGTATTTTTTCTTTTGTATTTGAATTAGGTTTTACCTAAACCCTAAATGAGTAACATGAGTCTTCTCTTCATCAATTTTGAAAATTTCATCTATTTCTTGAACATTTCCTTAAGTAGGAGATGAGTATAATAGGTTCACAAACAGTTGAACAATCTAAGCAGATTGTTTATGTATTAAATCAACCGAAGAATGAAAGGCAGACAATTCTGCAACTAGGAAGGGTTGAATAATATCTAAGTATGTGATAGATTACAGGTACATTGACAGTATTCTTTGTGTTATGTGTTTTAAAAAATTGAATTATTGCTATTTATTTATTCATGTTGATTCACTTTTGCAAATATCCCTTAACTGTTTATCAAGCCTTATGCATATGTTTTGGCATCAATAGATTCGAAGCTTTGTTGTTGTATTTAAATTTCCTTCAATATTTGTGTTTAAACTCTCAGAACACAAATATTAGTTATGTTAACATTTGAATATTACAAACTGATGGTTTTAAAACTTGGCTGGTTGGAGCTTGTGGAACTTTGGATTGAAATGGGATATTATTAATTCAATTATAGGTATTTAGTGGAGTATGATGATGTAGCTTTTATAACAGGAAAGTGGTGTTAGTCTTATGCTTCGTTTGGAATAGCTTTCTTATCATAAACAACGTAATTTTTTGTTTAACTTCTAGCAACGTGCACTTTGTGCACGGGCAATAAAACTAGTATATATATGTTTTGAGCTTATTAGTTGCAATATGTTTATTTTAAACTAAAGAATTTGTATTTAATAAATAATTCTTCAAAAAAGGTAGAGGAGAAGGATTATACACAGTATAACAATTTTAAATATTTAGATAATAGCATAATATAATATATTATGATAGAAAAACTACAAAGCATGAGCTCTCAACCAAATAGAAAATTATAAATATTCCGTTCAAATAATATTTATAAACATAAAATTTTAATTTTTCTAATATTTACTTAAAAAATTAAATGAAATAATATTATTTATACCTTTTTAATATGAATTTTAAAATTTTTATTTTTTATTCACATACATTTTGTGCACATGTAAATAAACATTAATAATTACAATTATTTAGAGTGATGATGTGGTATGTAGAGGATCTTGAATGGAACACGGAGAAGAAAGAACCGGAAAGGAGAAATAGAAATCTTTATAACTTGAATGTTTATTACAGAGCAATGCCAGGAGTATATATAGAACTCTATTGATATAATAATGACAAGAAACGGTTTTGCTGACGTGTCTAACTCGTTCCCTTAACACGTCTCCTCAAATTAACCATTCTGGGAGCGAATGGTTAATTTGGAACGTAGCAAATTGAAATGAGTTATGGGAACAGGTTTTGTGAGAATGTCAGCAATTTGATATGTAGAACAAATATGGGCTATGCTGATGTTGCCGGTTTGTATATGGCCGCTGATGAAGTGATAGTCAATCTCTATGTGCTTCGTCCTTGCGTGGAAGACATGATTGTGTGCTAGAGCTATTGCCGAGGTATTGTCACAATATATGGTCGTTGGCCGGGTTTGATTGATGTGCAATTCATCAGCTAGCCGGCGTATCCACAGGATATCGGAAGTTGCAGCTGAGAGCGAACAGTACTCAGCTTCCGTGGATGACCAAGCTACAGTCGTTTGTTTCTTGACCGATCACGAAATGAGGTTGTTGCCTAAGAATGTACAGAAGCCGGAAATTGATTTCCGGTCAGTTAGATCTGTCGCCCAATCTGCATCGGTGTAGGTGCGAGGGCATAAGTCTCCGGTTGTGAGCGGTAGACCGAACTCTAGTGTACCCCGAATGTAGCGCAGGAGGCGCTTGAGTGAAAGATAGTCGCAATTTCTGGGTTGGTGCATGTTTTGGCAGATCGAGTTTGTGGCGAATGCGATGTCCGGACGAGTTATGGAGAGATATTGTAAGAAGCCGGCGAGTTTGCGGAAGAGCTGGGGATCTGAGTAACGTTGAATTTCCGGAGTTTTACTGGGTTTAGTGTGAGCCGGTGTTTTGGACGGCTTGCAATTCATAAAACCTGCATGGGATAGCAACTCTGTAGCATAGTGGGATTGACTTAAGAAGTAACCTGTTGTGGTTTTGATCACCTGAATGCCAAGAAATAACGAGACCGCCCCGAGTTGTTTGATGTTGAATTGAGATTGAAGATGTTTAATGGTGGACTGTATCTTGTTTCGATCATTCCCTGTAATTAGGATATCATCAACGTAAATCAAGACATAAACTGAAATAGTAGCTTGATTAAAGATGAGAAGAGAGGGATCGGCCTTGCTAAACTGGAACCCGAGTTCGTGTAGGGATTGCATGAGCTTTTGGAACCATTGTCGTGGGGATTGTTTTAGCCCGTACAACGATTTGTGGAGCTTACACACGAAATTGGGGTGTTGATTGTCTTCGAAGCCGCACGGTTGTTTCATATAGATTTCGTCGTTCAGGTCGCCGTGGAGAAATGCATTTGACACGTCCAGTTGATTGACTTGCCAGGCGTGATGAAGAGCGACAGTAAGGAGCATTCTGATCGTAACCATTTTAGCTACCAGACTGAATGTGTCTGTGAAATTAATACCGAACTCTTGTGAGCATCCTTGAGCTATTAATCTTGCTTTGTATTGGGTGACCTCGCCGTTCGAGTTGAGTTTGGTCCTAAACGTCCATTTGCTGCCAATAATAGGTTTATCTGGGGGTGCTGGAACTAGGGACCAAGTGCCCTGTTTCTGTAGTGCGAGGTATTCAGTCGACATAGCGTTCCTCCAGTGAGCGTGCTTCGAAGCTTCAGTGAAATTGTTTGGAGTTGATTGTGAACTTGGAACGACAAAGAGGTCGAAGTTTGGTTTAGCTTTGGAGATTCCTGAACGCAAACGTGTTTGCATTGGATGCTAGGAGAGCGTGTGATTGGAGTGTAGCGGAGCATTCTGCGAATTTTCCGTGGAGTTCAACGGTTCTGTCATGGAGTCTGGAGCAGGTATACCGACGTTGGTGTTTTGTTTAGTGGGAATGTTGCTGATAATGTGATCAGTTGGTGTAGAAGACTGTGGGATGGCCGGTGGAATAGTAGATATTCAAAAGAGGAGTAACGGGGACTGGACTGGATCTCGGAGAGGGCGTTGGTCGGTGACGTATTTGATTTGTAGGGAAAGATATTCTCGTAGAATACCACATGTCTTGAGATGTATATGCGATCATTATGTAAGCTTAGACAACGGTATCCTTTGTGCTAGGGCAAGTAACCTATGAACACACATTCCAGAGATCGAGGTGCCAGTTTGTCTGGCACATATGGTTTAGTCCAAGGGAAGCACAGACAACCGGAAGTTTTGAGGTGTTTGTAGGCTGCAGGTTGGCCATGGAGACTATGGTAGGGTGTTTGATTTTTGAGGGCAGACGAGGGTAGACTATTGATTAAATAGTTAGCAGTGGTGAGAGCGTCGGCCTAGAAATGGTTTGGAAGCAAGGCCGCGTGAAGCAGTGTACGAGTGAGTTCAAGAAGGTTGCGATGTTTGCGTTCAGCGGTGCCGTTTTGCTTCGGTGTATGAGGGCAGCTTATGTTATGAGTGATGCCATGATGATGAAAAAACTTGTTGAACGTGCTGTTTTTAAATTCCCCGCCACCGTCGGACCGGAACGTCCTAATGTTAGTGTTGAAGTTATTCTTAATCATGTTGTAGAACTGCTGAATTTTTGAAAAGACTTCTTGTTTGGACTGCAGCAAATATAACCAAGTAAATCTTGTAAATTCATCTATGAAAACAACATAATACCGATAACCTTGGGTGGATGGTGTGGGGGCAGGCCCCCACACATCCGAATGAACCAATTCAAACGGTTTGTGACACACAGATGTACTAGTAACAAAAGGCTGTTTGTGACTCTTAGACACGTTACAAGAAACACAGACATTTAAAGAAGACGGTAATATCCGGAATAGTGTTTGCAAGATGCTGTAATTTGCGGGCATTGGGGTGCCCAAGTCGGGCATGCCACGGTGTGTTGATGGATCTTGCGGTATGGAGAGCTTCTGTGTTACATTTGATAGGAGCCTTGAGTTGATACAGACCATGGTGGTTGGATCCCCGGAGAAGCACCCGATTGTCCTGAAGATCCTTTATGACAAATTCATAAGCATTAAAAGAAATGGAAATATTATTATTAGACGCTAATTTTGAAACATATAACAAATTATGCGAGAGGGAGGGGACGTGTAAAATGTTACGGAGATGGAGCTTACGATGCGACTCGGGTAAAGGAAGAATTACTTGTCCTGAGTGCTGAACTGGAAGAGTACTTCCATTTGTGATCGATACGGCATCGAAGCCGTTGTAAGTCGTTGGGTGATTTATGTTTGCGACGTCAGAAGTGAGGTGAGAAGAGGCGCCGGAGTCCAAGATCCAGTCGTTTGTGGAAGAGTGATGTTGTTGAACCGTGAGAGCTCACAGGTTGGATGGTGGGGCGTAATTGAGATTACACCTATGCCAACAGTTTAGCGCAGAGTGTCCTGTTTTGCCGCAAATTTGGCAAATGGGTCTTGCAGATACCGTTCTGGCGGAATCTTGGGTCTCGTTTGAGGTTTGTGGACGAGACTGTGCTCCTCTGCCATGGAACCTGTTTGACTTACCACAGTAGTTTGAGCTGCGATTTGAGAAAAATGCAGTGGTCTCCACATGTTGTATTTCTTGGAGATGCTGATGCTTGATGTTGATTTCTTCACTGCACAATAGGGAATAAAGATCGTCAAGATTAATGGGTTGGAGAGATGTTCTTATGGCTGTCTTGAACGAATTGTAAGCCGTAAGTAGTCCGTTTAGAATGTAGAGGATGATATCCTCTGTGTCGACGGTGGAGCCGGCTGCGGCAATGCTTGTGAGATCTCGTTCCCTTACTGTTCCTCTATGAATTGGATTTTCTTCCCAGGATCGGCCGGGATGATATTGAGATCGTCCAGGCCGATCAGTGCATTGAAAACGGCTGATTTCTGGAGTGTTTTCTGGAATGATTTCTGGACTGGATCGTCCAGGCCGATTTTGGGATCGTCCTGGGACGATCAGTGCTTGGCAAAATCCCGAGAGCAAGGGTTTTTGGTAAATTAATTATCGGCCTTAGGAATCGTCCTGGACGATTGGATTTTGTTCACATCGTCCTGGACGATGTGGCGATCAGCCGGGCCGATCAGGCTTATGATATAAGCAAATCGGCTCGTTTTGAGGAGAGAGAAAATCATTTTTTAAAACGAAAATATCTGAGGAGAGAGAAAGAGAAAGGAAAAGAGAAGAAAGCTTGGTTTTCGGAGGCCGCGGAGCGCTTTTCGTCCGACGCCGCTGTTGAGGCATTTGTAGATCTCGTGGTAAGGACTCCGAATCCTATTTCTGTTTTCAGAGATATTGAGTTTTGGTCATTTTGTGCTCATATTTGTGTTTTCGTTACCGAAAAATGGACCCGGTTTTGTATTGACACAACTTTCACCGCACAACTTTTAATATGTTATTGATACAAATATTCTACACGATTTGATTCTTTTTTGGAACGATTTCACCGGTTATTTTGGGTTCTACGCGATTTTGATCTAATAGAAAAATATCAGGATGTTATTTGATATGGATTCAGTAGAACAATAGTCTTATATTATTATTGTGATCATTTTATTGTAATTTGGTGAATTGTAATTTTGTAGGTTTTTTTGTGTAAATTTGATAGACTGCCGTTACGCCGCCGAAATTTCGTACGATTTCCGATTTTTCTGAGATTGATGAATTGAATAAATATGAATGTGAATATTGATATGATTGCTCTACATTGTTCTTATATTGACTATTGAATTGATTATTGATTGATTATTGATACTGGAGCACAAGTGAAACCTGGTTGAACGTTGGTTGGAGATTGATTGACCTGTACAGGATGGTGGGCCGACGGGCTTTCCTTTAAATATTGATTATGGATATATGGATGGGAGTCATAAGGAGTTCTTATAGATATGCCGACGGGCGGCCGACGGGCAATAGAGTGACGACTCTTTTTATTGAAACCAACGTATGGATATCTACAACAGCAATATGGATTCTACAACAGCAACATAGCCAGTTGATTGTACTTATCCAGTATTATCGTATTGACTGCATGTTTATTGTATTGACATATGGATTTACTGCTTTACGGATTTACTGCTTTATTGATTTGATCGGATTTATGGATTTACTGTATCATACGATTTCATCGATTTCATTGATTGATCGCTGAGCATTGAAACTATTGAGCATTGATATGGACATGGATGGATATAGATATTGTATAGATGCATTGCTATGGACATGGATATTATAGATTCATTGATATTATTGCTTATAGACTCATTGATACTATTGCTTCTGCACCATATTAGCCTGCTGCATTTGATTCATTGCTAGTATAGATTGAGCTTTATTGTACTGTTTTTCTAATCGATTTCATTGACTTGATTTGATTGATTGATTTGATACGATTGATTTGACTGATCGACGGATTCTTCTGAGATTTGACGTACTGATTGATTGAGTTTGATTTATCGGTTCTTCTATCGCTGCATCGACTATTGATTTCCGTACTGCATTGGCTACTGATTTGATTTCCGCTGCATAGACTCATTGACCATTGACTGTTATGGATTTGATTGACTGACATGCATATTGATAGCAGTACCGTGCTTTGATTTCAGTTGTAGGCTTTGGTGACCTGCTGGGCTATTTAAGCTCATTATATGTGGTTGACAATTTCAGGTCCGAGCAAGGCAACTGGAATGGAGTTCGATCAGAATGTCAGACGAATCCTTTCACTATGGATGCCTGGGGCGTCACAATGCTGTCGACGATTTTCTTGATTTGATCAAGATATTGTTGCATCGTGCGATCTTTCATCTGGATTTGATGAAGCTCATTCTTGAGCTGAATAACCCGGGAGCGATTTGTAGGTTGAAGACGACGTTCTATAGTGAACCAAACTTCGGAGGCCGTCGTGAGAGAAAGAACGTATGGAAGAATTGATGACGAGATCGTAGAAAGAAGTGCTGATACGAGATTTCGATCCGTAAGTTTCCACCGAGCGTATGCATCGGACTCTGACTGGGACAGACAGAGCGCAAGGCCGGTGAGATGATTTTCAAACCCGTTTGCAGAAAAATGTTGGAACAGTTGTAATCTCCAGATTGCGTAATTGTCCGCCGTTAGCTGTGTTGGAACAAGATTTTTGATATTGGCGATGAGGAACTTGAGATGAGGAGGAATGGTGAATTCGATTTCTTGGTTGAGGACGCCGGAGGATGTCCGACGAGAATCTGCAGAGCGTTCGTCAGCCATGAGATCAAAGAGTTGTCGTGAGGCTATGGTGCTCTGATACCATGTAGAGGATCTTGAATGGAACACGGAGAAGAAAGAACCGGAAAGGAGAAATAGAAATCTTTATTGCTTGAATGTTTATTACAGAGCAATGCTAGGAGTATATATAGAACTCTATTGATATAATAATGACAAGAAACGGTTTTGCTGACGTGTCTAACTCGTTCCCTTAACATGGTATACTGTGGAAGAAGCAGTGCAAAAATAAACAGAACAAATAGTAAAATGACTTTAGCCTGAAAGTATCATATGTTTTTCTGTGTAATTCCTCTTCCCAGTAAAAAGATATACAAAACTTCAGCTAGCTAGCAAGGGTCTACCATCCTGCCGAAATTAGTTGCTGACCACTAAAAAGAACTTTGCACTGTCAATCCTATAATAGAAATTAAGGTAATGGAAACTATAGCTATATAACAGAATGCATATATAAAAATAACTGAAAGTGTAAAACGATATAACTATGGCAAGATTAATCAATGGCCATGATGCTCCGCATCTGATGAACAAAATATTTCCTTCATTCTAATAATGATAATATAACCTTTTTGTTTATGTACATTTAATGCATTTGCAATAAAAAAAAAGCAACTCTTTCAACTTCAACCATCGATATTGCACCAGTTCAAATGGATATGAGGAATGTGAGCAATCTTGTGCCCATTGGAGCCTTCATCCTCTCGATAGCGCTCCTGTAACTCTGGAGGACATTTCCAAAATGATAGAGTTTTCAAAGAGGGAGGAAGGTTCGGTAATTCCCGAAGCATAGGAATCTCATGACCAATATATAGTAACTGAAGTGAAGATAAGCTTTCCAAGGAGGAAGGGAGAGACTGTAAGGATTTGAGAGATGAAAATTGCAGCCGAGAAAGAGAAGAACTAACTTTCATAAACCACTGCTCCGCATCATTTGGAAGTGAAACCAGCTCATCATTATCCGAAATATTCAGCTCTTTTAAGGAGGCGATACTTCTCAATGGCTCCATTAGCAACACCAATGGATCACTTATGCTAAGATTGTTGAGCATGAGATGGCAATTATTAGTGGACTCCACTTCTCGATTTCTTCCCAGAGAGATCAGATTGGGGCACTTTATAATTCTCAAGTCTCTTAGTGCTGCAAGTCTTGGTATTTCATCAGCCAGTGGAAGAGATGTAATGTTTGGACAGTGAATGTGACACCGGACCGGAAGGGGCGCGACGAATCCACGTCGACGATCCGGTGGCGGTCGCCGGATACCACTCCAAGTACTTCTCGGAGGAGAGGGATCACCACCTGAAATCCTTCAGGATACAGAAACCCAAACAAGAGTAAAACTACTCAATTCTTATTCATCTCAAAATCTATCTCTATTACAAGTAAAGGCTCCTATTTATAGACAAATGTAACCCCTAATAGGCTACACTCAATCAGAGGTTCAAGCATGTGTATCGCCGGAGACAGCGCAGATCGACGGCTACGATTCAGAGTCTTTATTTTTGATTTATTTCATGTTTTATTTAGTTGGCATTTTATTTCCTAATTTACCCCTATGGGGAGTGTTGTCTTATTGTAGCCCAAAGGGCATTTGAGTACTTTTATTTCCTCATGTTTTAAGACCTATTTACAGGGGTCTCATGCTTTGTAAAAGCTAAGGAATGATTGTTATAAAATATTATTTTGCATGAGTTCTTGTGAGAGTTTGAGTATTTGATGGAGAGAGATCCCTAGGAGAGGAAAGCTTGCGCACCACCCACCAACCTTGGAGACAGCCGGGTTCGTGGTTCTTTATCTCTTTGGTTATCTTGATCTCCCCCTCCATGACGCCGGAGCTGAGATGTTTGACTGTATTAACTTCAGGCTAGTTTCATTCCATTGGGTAGCTTATATGGCAATCCAAGTGAACAACAATCTTGCAGCATATCCAATCTTTTAAGTCGCCTTCAAGCTTATCTCCACCTTCATAAAATAGTTTACTTGGAACATTCCTCTTATCAGTGATGGAAAGCACATTTATTGCCTTAACAGGAGGAATATACATGCATAACTCCGGCGGGGCATCCATCTTGCTCTGGTCATCGTCATTCTTGGAGCGGTGTCCGGCGACCGTCACCGGATGCTTGACGTGGATTCGTCGAGCCCCTACCTGGCCGGTGTCATTTGGTATCAGAGCTAGCAAGGTGCTGGCGTGCCGACAGGGTAGATTAGTTTCTGATTCAGGAGAAAGAATCAACTTCTTGACGAGTCCTCTGTTTTCTGTATCCTGATTCATTTTTCAGGTGGTGAAGAGGCACAGTGAGCAGTCCTTAGCTCACGAGTACAGGGCGGAAGCCGCTTAAGCAGGAGGTAACAACGATTCTGTTGTGCGGCTTGGAAGGAAGTAGATCAGAGGAGATCTCAACCAAAACGGACAAGTGCTTCAATCGGATTTGCAAGCAGAAAAGTTCTGCTGACCCCACAATGCAAGACGCCTGCTACCAATATGTTTTTCCAACCTGCTGAGGGTTGCAAGGCAACTATCTTCAACAAAAAGTTGATTGATTCTTGAATCTTTTTTGGTCAACACAAGCAACCATCTACGTTTTGGCCACATTTTTCCTGTTCAAGAATATCAAGAACAATAGTTTCTTGTTGAGTTTTCATAGAAGAGTCACTGTTCTCCCAACTACCAAGTATTTGGTTCGGCGTCATTTTATGTTGAAGGTTCGTCCAAGGTGGAGCTTCCCGATTGTGACGCCATTTTGTTCTCAGCTTCCCGGTTGCGGCGTCATTTGGTGTTTTTTCCTGTTTTCTTTTCCAGCCTCTGCTCTCTGTATCTTGAGCCATCTCAAGTGGTAAAGCCTAGGCTAAGGAAGCAGACGTCCCAGGTGGAGCTGCTCTGAAGTGCGAACTAGTCGTGCCGTGGGTGTTGTGGCACTTCTTCCTTGTGCCGAAAGGCATATCAGAGCAGGACAAGCTTTCCAGCCACGGGATAATTGCTCCAGAAGATTGCATCCAAACATTCACAATTGTTGTCTTCGTCTTCCACCTCTAAGAAAATTGAAGCCACATCAGCACAAAGTTGGAAAGATGCCGCTTGGCCGGAATCTTCAACGATCACGTCAAGAAGTAGAAATCGAAGATCTTCTACAAGAAGTTGCTCGACTCAAATTACGATTATCAAGGGTTGAACGAAGATCGTTACAAACTGACGATGACGACGACGAGGGCATTTCAGATGATTATATCTCTTCCACCCCACCCTCGGTCGAGTTCAGCTTTGAAGAATTTGAAGACTCGTTTCCGAAATCATCTTTTCCTCTCTACGACGAGCCTGTGTATGATGTGTATAATGACGACATGTTCGGTGGAGTTCTTGATCTTGATCAGCCTGAGTATAATGATGACAGGCAAGTGCAACTTCAAGATTACCGTGATTCCGCTTCATTTCCTGAAGCATTTACAGCCCCTGTTAGCAACTGTTATGACCATTCACATTTCCATCTCAATTGCAAAGAGATCTATGATGAGTTTTCTAGGAATCAGTTGTCTTCAACTCTAACTTCAAGTATTTTTCATGCATCTGATCTAGTAGGGAACTCAGAACAAGGTTCCCTTAGCTTTGATAACGAGCTCCTCCCCCTGAGACTAGGCTCTACTCATCCGTTTGTTTTGAACTTGTCGAAAGTTAACGACCTGAACATAGATGAGAGCTACTATGACATAACACAAGTTATGTCAAGCAGTGGTAGTGTCGGCAGTTCAAAAGATATTAATATGCATAAATTTACTCATGGAAATTACTTGTTTGAGAACGTGCAGAAATTTCCAAGCAGTGGATCTTCTCGGATGCTATTAGACTTGCAATATCTACATACAATCCAAGAAATACTTGTTGAACTAATCAATTTGAAGTCTCTCCTAGGCGAGGTGAATGACACCGGGTGGAAATATCCAGACCGGTTTAGCCAACCAAATCCGCCTCCTTGTGGCCAACCGAAAATCTTCCTATGAGCCTAAAGTTCCTCCTACCCCGGTAGTATGACGCCGGAGCTGAGATGTTTGACTGTATTAACTTCAGGCTAGTTTCATTCCATTGGGTAGCTTATATGGCTACATAGGATTAGTACTTGCTTTTATTTTGTGTAGCCTATTATGTTACTTTCTTTGGCTATAAATGCATAGCAAATGCTTGTAATAAAGATAGATTTTTGATATGAATAAAATTTGAGTTTAGTCTCATGTGTTTTCCTGTATCCTAAGAGTGATTCTTAGGTGGTGGATCTTTCCTCCAAGAAGTACTTGGAGTGGTATCCGGCGACCGCCACCGGATCGTCGACGTGGATTCGTCGCGCCCCCTCCGGTCCGGTGTCAGAATGACTATTAATGTTTTAAGGGGAATTGGATTTGAATTGCTACAAAAATTCAAAGTTGTCCACCCGGTGTTTTCGATGTGCAATATCTTGATCTTCGAAGGCAAAGAGGGCAACTCTTTCAACTTCGGGCATTTATTTAGAAACAGTTCAGTTAAGCAAGGAAACAAACATCCATCTTCAGCAGCTACTCCAGCCTCAAACCAATCCTCTAATGCTTCTAATTCCCCAATATGTAACACCTCTAGCAATGGAAAGGCATGATATTTATCATTCCCATTAAATTTACTTTCGAGCCATTTTACTTTCGGCATGCTAAAAAGTTTTAGATACTTGAGGAAGGGAAGTTGCCCAAAAGGTGGAAGAGTTATGCACTCCAAGCAATACGTCAATTCGATTAACGCTAGATTGAAGATCGGATTGACATTGTTCATCCATATTGCAAACCTTGCACCCATGTATCTTTGTATTCTCAGATTCCTTAAACATTTTGGTGGATGAAGGTTGGGTTCTCATCTAAATCGATGTTCCTCGAATCAGTGTTACTCCAACATAAGGTTAAATCTGTGAGCCTCCACTTAGCACATAATTTGGCACTACAAGCCTCCTCGGCACCCTTAACATTTTCAAGGCAAGTGATTCCTAATTTGCAAAGATCATTCATATTCTCTAGCTCCCCAATTTTGTAACCACTCACATCTCTCAGAGCAAACATATTCAGTAGTTGAAGAGACTTTAGCTTCCCAATCCCACATATAGATGAAATATACTTCTCAGGCAATTTCACGTAACGCAAGTTTGAAAGGTTATTAATGCCACTTGATACAAAATCATCAACTTCAAGTTGGCTTGACCCCCATGTGTTTTCATAGATTATATATTGCAAGTGATAGAGATTACTTAGAGATCTTGGCAGCATAGTCAAATTCATAACTTCAATCTTTAAGAATCGAAGATGTATCAAATTTTCAATCTCCTCAGGTATCGTTTTCAAGCATGTAGAAGATATGTATAATAAGCGTAGGCTTCCCAATGCTTTGAATATGTCAATAAGTGCATTGCAAAGATCCCCATTACAAGGCCTATCGAACAAGAAAAGAGAATGCAAATATTTAAACTTCTCAATCTCTTTTATGATGTCTGGATTTATAGTTTGAACAGACAAGTGTCGAAGAGTCTTAGGAATTATAGAAGGAAACTTTGTACTATTCTCAACTCTTAAACATTCATGTATGGAAACTGACTGTGCTAATTCATGTATTAAGTCATGCATCTTGTAGTATCGTCCAATAGCTTTAAACTTCTCAAAGAAATTTTTTTTAACCAAAACATCAAAATACATTCCTCCAATATCCTCCATAGTCCATTCTTGATCATGAGGCTGCTGAATGAAACCCAATGCAATCCACATTTTGACTAAATCATCTTTAAGAAACAGATGATCTTGTTGAAATATATAACAAAATGCGAAACAATTTTGTAGATGTTTTGGGAGGAACATATAGCTCAATCTTAAAATGAGAAAGATGTCATCCTGACCCAATTTTGGACTTACAAAATCACTATTTAAAACATTTGTCCAATGTCTTTCATTCAAGCTAGAATTCAAAACACCACCGATGACCTTAGCTGCCAATGGAGATCCTGAAAGCTTTTTAACTATCTCTCCAGTAATGAATCTTAATCTTTTATAATCATTAGGATTCTCTACATCAGCAAATGCATGAGAGTTGAGGAACTGCAAACACTGATCTTCCTCCAAGCCCTCTAATCTAAATATTTCATTCTTTTTAATCACCTTTGCAATCATCATTGCAACTGAGTCCATTCGAGTTGTTAACAAAATCCCACTACCAATTTTCCCATAAGCCAGAGGGGTGAGCACCGTCTCCCATTTGTTGATATCCCGGTTCTCCTCCTCCTCCCAAATGTCATCCAGAACAAGTAAAAACTTTTTGGACATAATCTCAGTCCGAAGACTATTTTGAAGTGCATCAAGTGTGTCCAAACGAGGCCTCCTTTTCTTGAGAGATTCCAACATATCTGCAATGACTTTTTTCACATCAAAGTTTTTTGAAACACAAACCCACATTTTAAGATCAAATTCTTTTGTCATTTCATCTTCATAGGCATGTTGCAAGAGAGTTGTCTTCCCCATACCACCATGACCCACTATAGATAGAAGAGAAATTTTTCTATACAAATCAGTTTCATTAACAAGAGCTTGATGTTCCTCATTTAATTGCATCCTCAACCACTGCATAACAAACTCCTTATCCTTGCCCCGTCCAATGAGACCATTTTTGGGCAAAGATCCTGTTTCGCGTGTTTTGTAGAAATCAACCTCCTGCTCCTTCTGTTCCTGCTTCGCGCTGTCTAAAAGATGAAGGAAAGTAGTAACATCAACCGAAACTTTATCAAGTTTCTGCACAGCCTCCTCCAGTCGGTTCAAGTTGGGATCCCTTTTGAGAACACGTTCGCCAATTTTGAGAATTTTACGAGGACTTTCAAATAGGAAGCTCGTGAACTTTCTTTTCTGATCATATTAGTTAGAAATAGATTTTCAAAATAAAAAATATATATATTCGCGAGCAGATTAATCAAATAGGAAGCTCGTGGTGGCGGAACGCACCTTTGTTTCTTCCGTGTTTTTGGGGAGCTGTTGTTTATGCTTCATGTACTCAAACTCATCGAGCACATCATCTGCCTCATCAATGGCATCTCGCAGCTGCCATACCCATTTATTGAGAGCCCTATTTTTATCGTTGATTTGTGCTTGGTTAGCGGCAGAGACGACAGCTTGAATCTTGGGGTGAGCCTTTCCAGCTCCTTCTTCATGCCCGTCTGCCATCCGACTTGATCTTCCAGGTAATCAGAGCAAGCGTTGATGATCTTGTCCATGATTGGACCTACAAACCATCCCGCCATGGCACCCGATGATCGAGGTAGAGAGAGCAGAACAACTGAACAGTAGGAGAAACAGAGATAGGAAATTTGGAAGAGATAAAGATTAGATGGTCTCCAATAGCGGGGAGGCGACCGAGGATGATTGCCTAGCTTGTTAATAGGAAAGCTTTCATTGCTACCCTGCCATCCTAAGGAGAAAATGGCAATCCACTCATCATTGCCCATTTTCCAATCGAATTTGACATCCGGCATGTCAAAACGTAAACCTCCACGTCCATCAAAAACATAATACTTATCCCAGTAATACAACCGAGATAAAGCAACACATCAGCTAGCATATCTTCCTTACAATCGGTCAATCAAACAAGCAGCAATACAAAACCTCAGGAACTCAGGAACTCAAAGTGGGATCGCTAGAATTACAGCAAATCCATCAAATTCACAGCATTCTTCCATTTCATAATTTTAGAGAAGACAGCAGCCTTTATTAAATGAATGTATTTTAAAATAAATGAATAGGTTTTTTTAGATGAGAAAATCATTTTATTTATTATTATATATAGAGTAAGAAAATGAATGCTTTTTTGGGGGGAAATGAGGGCCAAAGCCCGTATATTATTATGGAAAAAAATACAAGGTATAATAGAAAAGTCAGATTCATACAAAAGATGAGGACTAATAAAAAACCTATACATCCCAAAAAGATTCAAAAACAATAAGAGAATAAAGAGATTAAACTATCAAAAACGGACTCAGACTGCTAATCAAACACAAAAACACATAGAGTGCCAACATCACCGATAAGTGAAAACCTCTTGGTTGATGGCCGTCCAAGGAAATGATTAGCAGCTACCATCATAATCTTGCAGCTAAAACCAACTGTGGAAAACTATCCCAGGTTGCTGAAGAGATCATCCGGGGACCAAAACGTAGAGATCAACCAGACATAACCTATCCAAGTAAACCAGCATAAGGCAATCAAAACCACAACAATAGAACCATCGCAAGTAGCACATGGAACAAAACAAAACAAAAATCACATCCATCCTGAGCTTCGCAAAACAGCAGCAAGAGTGAATCAAATCAAGCAAATACCCATGTTCCATAATCCTCCAGTCAATACAATGCCCATCCAGCAAAAACGAGAAGGTTTAAGAAGGCCAAGTCATTTTCAGATTTTCATGATGCTTCTAGGTTGAGACTTTCGCCTCAACCGCCAATTAAATGAGAGAGCATAAATTCGATACACTTCGAATGCTTTTTTATCCATAGAAGTACTGAAAGGATGGTTGAGCTGAAGAACCTGCACATAAGAAGTTAAGCAAGAAAACAAAGAAGAAGGAGAAGCAGATATTACTGTAGCAGTTGATTCATTTCCTCAATGTTCCTGAAGCAATGTATACAAATATATAGAAAAAGCCGTAGGGAACCAGATCTGCCAAAGCCGATCCTTAGCAGGGATTAAGGCGAACATAAGACACAGACGCTGCAGTGGTCCACAGGGAAGTGGAGGTCAAGGCAATGAGTGCTAACAGCCCCCCTCAAGTTGATTGTCCAAAGGTTGGATGGTCAACTTGCTGCGTAGTAGTTGAAATCTGGATGTGGGAAGAGTTTTGGTCATAATGTCAGCTGATTGATCAAGAGTGCTAATATGAAGAACTTCAATTGCAGCGGATCGAATGTGTTCACTAATAAAATGATAGTTGAGCTCAATATGTTTTGTTCAGGCATGAAAAACAGGATTATAAGCTAGAGAAATTGCTGAGGTACTGTCACAGTAGATTCGCGTGGGTTCCAATTAAGGTGCAAGAAATTCACCGAGAAGACGGCGAAGCCATAAGACATCTGAAGTTGCAGTTGATAAGGCACGATATTCAGCCTCCATGGAGGATTTGGCAACCGTGGCTTGCTTCTTGACATGCCATGAAATTAGATTGGGACCAAGAAAGGAACAAAAACCTGTGACAGACTTGCGATCCACTTTGTCGGCAACCCAGTCTGCATCAACATACGTTCTAAGTTGTAGATCTCCAGTGATAATCGGTAAACCAAAGTGTAATATTCCCTTAATATAATGAAGAAGTCGTTTAAGGGAATGAAAGTGCTGATTCGTTGGTTGATGCATGAACTGACAAATGTGATTTGTAGCAAAGGCTATATCCGGTCTCGTGACAGTAAGCTACATTAGGGAGCCAGCCAATTTGCGATATAGACGGATCAGAAAATGACTGTTCTGATTCGTGAGTAAAGGGCGACTTGAGGGCCGCAGGAGTTGAGACCGGTCGGTAGTTCATAAAGCCAAATTTGTTTAACATATCTTGTGCATATTTGGATTGTTGTAAGAATAAGCCATGTGCAGTTTTCTGAACATGAATTCCAAGAAACATGGAAACAGGGCCAAGTTCTTTCAATGCAAAATCAGACTTGAGCTTCTTAAGGAGAGAATTTATGGTAGTCTGATCATTACCGGTGAGGAGCAAATCATCAACATAAATTAAGAGATAAAGAACAACATTGGCCCGATTGTATATTAGAAGTGAAGGATCTGATTTGCTGATGGTAAACCCGAAAAGCTTAAGGGAGCTGGTGAGCTTGTCGAACCACTGCCTCGGCGCCTGTTTGAGCCCATATAAAGACTTATGTAATTGGCATACATAGTGTGGAAATTGTTCATCGACAAAACCATGAGGTTGTTTCATGTATACAACATCAGGTAGATCTCCATGTAAGAAGGCATTGGAGATGTCAAACTGTAAAATCGACCATCCACGTGTGACAGCAATGGTGATGAGAATTCGAACGGTTGCCATCTTAGCAACTGGACTAAAGGTCTCTTTGTAATTTATACCATATTCTTGGGCAAAGCCTTGAGCTACAAGACGAGCTTTGTAAGTAGGTGCTTGACCAGATGAAGGAAGCTTAACTTTAAACAACCATTTACAGCCAAGGACAGGACTGTTGGCCGGTGGTGGAGTTAGAGACCATGTAGATTGTTTTTGAAGAGCTAGAAATTCGTTTGACATGGCTGCACGCCAATGAGAATGTTTATTGGCTTCAGCAAATGTGGAGGGAGTGGGAAGAGGAGTTGTGGTAGTGGAGAGATCAAAGATGACTTTGGGCTTAAGATTTCCTGTCTTAGAACGTGTTTGCATTTGGTGAGGTGGGAGAGGTAAAGGGGTGGATGGGATTTGGTCTGTGTTAGAAGAGGAAGTGGAAAAAGGCGAGGAGGAAGAAGTGGATGAAATGTGGGGGGAGGAAGTTATGGGAGAATGGTGAGGAGCAGGTGGTACAGGTGGGGAGTTGGTTGTTGTAGAAATAGTGGATATTGGTATAAGTAACAGAGGAGAGGAATTAGTGATGGAGTGAGGGGATATGGTGGTTTGAGGTTGATAAGGAAAATGCTTTTCATGAAACACGACATGTCGGGAAATATGAATTTTATGAGTTTGTAAATTGTAGCATCTATATCCTTTTTGAGAGGAGGAATAACCGAGAAAGAGGCAGTCTTGAGAGCGAGGTTGAAATTTGTTTGTGGTAAGAGGCTTAAGCCAAGGATAGCATAAGCAACCAAATATCCTTAGGTGGGAATAATCGGGTAGTTTCTTATGAAGAATTTGATATGGAATTTTGAAGTGACATGCTTTGGTAGGGAGGCGATTTATGAGGTAATTAGCCGTGAGTGTGGCTTCAGCCCAAAAGAGATTTGGAAGATGAGCATTATGAAGAAGAGTTCTTGTAATGTCCAAAAGGTGTCGATTCTTACGTTCCGCTAATCCATTTTGCTCGGGAGTATACGGGCATGTTTGTTGGTGAGTGATGCCATGAGTTGAGAGATAGCTATTAAAACTATGATTTATATATTCAGTTCCACCATCAGAGCGAAGAGTTTGGATTTTAGTATTAAAGAAATTGTTAATTAAGTTGTTAAAGTGAATAAATTTGGACAAGGTTTGGTCTTTGGAATGCATCAAGTAAAGCCAACAAAAACGAGAGTGAGCGTCTATAAACGTAACAAAATAACGATATCCATTGATAGAAGAGATGGGGGAGGGTCCCCAAACATCTGTGTGTACAACCGAGAAAGGAGTAGTCTTAGTGTTAATACTAGAAACAAAGGGTAACTTGTGGCTTTTACCCACATTACATGAACGACACAAAACAGAGGTAGAGGGGATACATATAGAAGGCACTAATCTAGATAAAGCTTGTAAGATGCGGTGGTGTGGATGACCAAGACGGGCATGCCACGGTGAGTCTTTGAGTTCGTTGTTGACATGAAGAGCGGTAGGAGGAATCTTGGCAATGGGAGTAGAGATTGAGTAGAGTCCATTACGGGTTCGACCACGAAGGAGGATTTGCTGATCCACACGATCCTGGATGGTAAAACCGTGAGCATCAAAGGATATAGAGCAGTTGTTGTCAGCTGTTAGCTTATGAATAGATAAAAGATTATGAGACAAGGCTGGAACGTGAAGGATATTTTTAAGATAGAGCTTACGAGGTGTATTTGGTAGCGGTAACAGTCCTTGTCCTTGGTGTTGAATTGGTAGAGAGCTTCCGTTAGCAATAGACACTGTGTCCGAGCCTGTGTACATAGTTGGTTGCTGAAGTGTCTGTGGATCAGCAGTAAGATGACTTGTTGCACCTGAATCGAGAACCCATTCTGCTGTGGGATGATTCTGAGTAAGCAGAGCACGACTTGGTTCGGTGGATGTAGGTGAATATCGATACCAACAAGTGACGGCAGTGTGACCATTTTTGGAACAGATTTGACAATTGGGACGAGTGGTAGTAGCAGCAGAAGGAGGACGCACGGCATTGTTCAGCTGTTTTGGATTTTGTCCTCTGCCTCTGGTATTAGAGAAATTGCCACGCCCTCTGTTACTTCTTCCACGGTTTGTATAAAATGCCGTATTGTCTGATGAAGGAGGAGCCTCCCTACGA